AGAAGAACAGCCTGCCTAGTTGGAAGCAAATACTCAAGTCCTTCTGGGAAGGCACAGAAACAGCTGGTTGGTTCAGCCTCTCACTGTGGCCAGGGTCCAGTCTCCAGGGCTGTGTGGAAAGGGCTTTTACTCTTCAGAAACATTTGCTTTTCAGCAGCTAGGGACAGACATTTTCTCTCTTCATCCTAAGCATAGGCCCACATGCCTTCATCCTTCGGGTGCGCGCACAGCAGACACATAGATACAAGAGAAGCAGGAACCCTCCCCCAACACACATACACACATGCACACACATCCATGCACTCCTTGAGGCATGCACACAGGCTCAAGTATACGCACAGGTGCAGAGGCACACACATCCCAACACAGATACACAAGAGCACAGACGTAGCTCACCTGTTCCTCCCGAGTTAGGCACCAGTATACTGACTGCCTGCTTGAAATCTATTTCTCCTTGTTTGAGGCCTCCTGAGCACGTCAAATCTAACATGTCTCGGGCTGGGACTTAACTTCTCTGTAAATCCGCTTCTCCGTCAGTCTGCCTCAGCTTGACAGATTCACTCACTCAGGCATTCTACACATGTTTACTGAGTGGTTCCTATTTGCCAGATGCTGTGCTAGCTACTAGGGAACAGGGGGAAACAAAACAGAGTCCTTCACCTTGGATTGCCAATGATCTGGCAGGAGAAACAGATAAGCAGAAATGTAATGTATTCTTGTGGTGATAAGTTCATGGGAAACAAAACAATGCAGATTAAGGGAATGGAGGGTGACAGAGTGTTCCATTTTTTGGTTTCTTGTTTGTTTGTTTTGGCTGTGCCATGCGGCTTGAGGGATCGTAGTTCCCCCATCAGGGAACAAACCTGGGCCCCCAGCAGTAGAAGCACAATGTCCTGACCACTGGACTGCCAAGGAATTCCCAAGAGTTCTATTTTAAATCAGGCAATCAGAGAAGGGCCCTGGGTCAGAGTCCTGAATGCAGGGAGGGAATGGACCTTGAGGGTATCCTGAAGGAGGACATTCCTGGCAGAGGGAAAGTCCCTGAGGCTACAGTATGCTTGGCAAGTTGAATAAAAAGCCATGAGGCCAGAGCTTCCCTGGTGGCTCAGTGGTTAAGAATCTGCCTGCCAATGCAGGGGACGTGGGTTTGATCCCTGGTCCAAAAAGATCCCACATGCTATGGAGCAACTAAGCCCGTGTGCCACAACTACCGCTCTCCACAACTAGAGAAAGCCCACAAGCAGCAACAAAGACCCAACATAGCCAAACATAAATTTTAAAATAAAGAAAGAAAAAAGAAAGGAATCAAAGATGACTCCTAGGTTTTTGGCCTGAGCAACCAAGTGCCCTTTATCAAGATGGCGAACACTGGGCCAGAGCAGGCTTGTAGGAGAGATCATAAGAATTCAGTATTGAACCTTGTAAGTTTGAGGGACCTATTAGACACCCAAGTGGAAGTATTAGGAGATTTAGTTTAGGGGTCAGCATATAAATAGCATTTACAGCCATTGGAATGGATGAGATCATGGAAGGAGTGATTATAGAAGAGATCCAATGTGAAAGAGGTCCAGCATGAAAGATGAAGAAATGGGGAAAGACCCAGCAAAAAGTGCTTTCATACTTGAGTTTCCCAAACTGGAAAACTGGGAGACATCCTGGACATCCCCTTCCCCATCATCATGATCCAATCCAAGCCATCCCCTCATCCTGCCAGTTCTACCCATAAAATACACCTGGAACTTGTCTCCAACTCTACCTCCATCATCCGGTCCAGGCCTTTGTCATCTCTCACCTTAATAACTGCTACATTTTCCCAGCTGACTTCCCCACATCCACTCTGCCCCCTCTCATCTGCCCTCCCCACAACAGCCAGTGATCTTTTAAAAATGCAAATCATATCACGTCCATCTCCTGCTTAAAATCCTTTAATAACTTTCCAATTCATTTAGCATTAGTCCAAAATTCTTAACACAGTTTTAAGTCCCTGTGTGATCTTTCACTTGCTAACCTCACTTCCTGCAACTCTCCGCTAATATCTTACACTTCAACTTCACCAGCAGTGGCAATGTCTCCGTTCCTCAAAAAGACCACATGAAGCACTTAGCGCAAAGCCTGGCACATAGTAGGCACTCAGTAAATGTAAGACATCATTATTCTACCTCTGGGCCTTCACAGATGCTGTTCCCTGTGTGGAATGCTCTTCCCTTTAGTCTTCTAACTCCTACCCCTCTTCAAGTCTGTATTAGTTTTCTATTGCTGCATAAATTTATCATCTCACAGTTTCCAAGGATCAGAAGTCTGGCACCTTTTACTTGGGTCCTCCACTCAGGGTCTCCTAAGGCTGAAATCAAGGTAGGGCTGCATCCTTCTCTGAAGGTTCAACTAGGGAAAGATCCGTTTCCAAGATACCTTAGGTTGTTGGCAGTATTTACTTCCCTGCAGCTGTAGGACTGGAGTCCCCATTTTCTTGCTAGCTGTCAATCAGGGACCATTCTCAGCTGCTAGAGCCCTCGCTCAGGTTCTTGCCTTTGGCTTCCCGCACAGGCTGTCTCACAGCATGGCAGTTTACCCCTTCTAGGTCAGAAGCCAAATTTCTCTCATGCTTCAGATCTCTTCCTATAGCAAGGGCCCTTAGAACCTGGCCCACCCAGAATAATCTTCCTTCTGTTTTTAACTCAAAGTCAACTGATTGGAGACCTTAATTACATCTGTAAAATCCTTCACCTTTGTCATATAACCTAATCAGAGGAATGAAATCTATCATATTCACAGTCCCACCCACACCCAAGGGGAGGGGATAATGTTAGAGGGTGTATATATCAGGGGCTGGGAATCTTGGGGACCACCTTGGAATTCTGCCTGCCACAAGGTCTCAGCCTAAAATCATTTCTTTTTTTTTTTTTAATATTTATTTGGTTGCACCAGGTCTTCATTGCAGCACGTGGGCTCCTTAGTTGCGGCTCATGGGCTCCTTATTTGCGGCACACGGGCTCCTTAGCTGTGGCACGTGAACTCTTAGTTGCGGCATGAATGTGAGATCTAGTTTCCTAACCAGGGATCGAACCCGGGCCCCCTGCATTGGGAGCACGGATTCTTATCCACTAGGCCACCAGGGAAGTCCCTCAGCCTAAAATCATTTCCACAAAGATACCTTCCCTGACCCCAGATCTAAACTAGGTCCCACTTTATATTCTTTCAACGTTCACCCTGCAGGTTTCTTTCACAGCACTTACAGATTGTAACTGTAAACTTATTTGTATTATTTGTTTGTTTGATGTACCTGTTTATTTGTTTGATTCTCTTCTCTTGGCCTTGTGAGCTCCATGAGAGCAGAAAGCAGGAATACTGTTTTGTTCATCACTATGTCCCTGTACCCAGCACAGTGGTTGGTAACAGTAGATCATTGAATGAATGAATGATGAACAAATGGACAAATCAGGGCACGGATTAACCTACTCAGACATTAAACAGGGAGGAGAAGGGATGAGGCATTGATTGGGCCAGGTTCTGTGCTAAGTGCTCTACAATTTCTAACTTCATTTAACCCTTACAACTGTCCTAGGACTGCTCCTATTAGTAGCCTCATTTTACAGAGAGGGGAAGCAAGGTTTAGAGAGGTTAACTTTCTTGCCCAAAGTCACACAGCAGGGAACCGAAAAACCTAGGATTCAAACCCAGGACTGTTTTCAGTGTAAATACTGGGAAACTTCTTTGGATTCCAAAGACTTGGTTGGAGAATTGGATCTGCTGCCACTTACTGACCACGTGAACTGGCACAAGTCACTTCAGCTCTGAGTCTGTTTCTTTGTTTGTGAAATGGAGGTGGTGATACCTACTGAAGAGTGGTTGGCAGAAGTAAGATAATGTGCATAAAGTTCCCTAAATATAGCAGATGGTCAGTAAATATAACCAGTGATTCCCACAGGCCAAAGGGCCACCCACTCCGCTGCTGAAGTGAAAGTCCATTTGGTTGGATTAGGGAGGCCATACAGGTACAAGGGAAGGGGGGCCCCAAGAGAGGAACCTATGAATGTGAGGTTCTCAGGTGCACCTGCTGGATGTGACCCTACAAATGGAAATCTTGCTTTGCAGAGGCTTACCAGAAAGCCTGTTTCAAGGGGACCATTGCTGAACAGAACAAGCCAGCAACTGGTTTTCCTCTCCTCTGGCCAGGGAATTCCTAGGACAGGTGGAGGAAGGGCCGTCACAAGCTTTGGGAGTCCCTGGCGGAGAAGGCATGAGCTCTGAGTCCTGGACTCCAGAGAGCTCGGCTTCCGCTGCCCTCTGCCTCCTGTTTTTGCCCTCTGCCTATGCTTTTCCAAGACGCTGATCATCACAGAAGAGACTCACTGGGCAAGGGGCAGGGTCAGAAGAGAGAGCGCTGAAAAGCCAGGCCATCACTAGGATTCAGGGATGCAAGCCTCCCTCTCCCATCACAGTGTCATAAGCTTCTACCATGGACCTACTGCTTAGGTCTCCATATGACCCTCCCCCATTCCTCTTGGAAAAAGGGACTCCACCACCTGCCCTCAGCCCACAGGATCAGTCTTAATAAAACATTCATCAGATCTTCCTCTTCTGTGACATGGAAGAGTCCAGAGCCCTGGGCTGAGGTTAAATCAGAGAAATGGAATTGAACTGGCGGAGGGTTGTGCGCTAACCATCACACTGCCCTGCCAGTTGACGGTCACCCTTGAGCTGGGATGCTTGAGCGATGGCAGAGCGGGAGAGGCTTCAGCATTCATCCTCTCCACAATTCCCTAATTTTACCCAGGAGAAAACTGAGAGCCTAGAGAGGGAGAGGGCTTGCCCAAAGTCACACAGCTTGTGAAGCAGCAGACGAGAACCCAAATGTCTGTCTTTCTTTACTGACTTTGCTGCCCCATTTGTTTTCCTCTGAGATACAGAAGAGGCTAAAGTTACATGGGGGCAAGGGAGTAAAGCCATTTCCCTCTGAGCCTCTGGTTCTTCATCTGTTAAATGGGAATAATTATACTTCCTGCCAACACACCGCTTGTTTATGAAGTTTCAGTGAGTAAATACAAATGACTTCAGTGGCAGAATCATCTGCCTGGTACAACAGGACCCCAGACTGAAGGAGACAATTGAAAGGACCTGAAGGTTGGCAGGGTGGATGGGCCCAGAAGATGTGGGTTCACCTTGTCATCCTCCCCAGGTGGGGCCCAGGCCTGGGTTGCCATGGATACCGTGTCCCTGGAGCATCAGATCCAGAGCGTGCAACGCCACATCAGCTTCCTGAAAAAAGAACAGATGGCCCTGCTGCGAGACCTGCACCTGGAAATCCTGAGGCTGCAGAAACGCTGCTCAGGTGAGGCCTGGAGGGATGGCGGGGGGCGACTGTCATCATCATAAGCACTGTCCCTGATGGGGTGTCCACCGTGAGCCTCTCTGAGCCTCTTAACAATCCTGCCAGGCAGGTGTTCGATCACCCCTTTTTCTTGGTGAGGAAACTGAATCTTAGGGAAGTGAGATACAAAATGTTCATCAAGCACCTCGCAGCCCTAAGAAGCCCTCAGTCTAGCTGGGGAGACACACACACACCAACAGGTAATCTAAAGATACACAAAAAATGAAGAGGGCTGACAGGAGTTCACGGGCAGGATCATGTCCAGCTTGAGGCGTGGGTGATGGAGGAGGAGACCAGGCATCCCACGCTCCCCAGAGGAGGGAGCACTTCCTCTCCCTGAGAGCTGAGTAAGATTTAGACATGCTGAGATGTTACGGGGCAACGAGGGTGGAGAAAGCTTTCCAAATGAAAGGAACAGCGTGGCAACATTCAGAAGGTAGGAAACCAAAAGCTCACGAAAAGCTCTATTCGACTGGATAATGCTGTGCTTAAAGTTGCTGGGAAATAACGGTTGCAGGCAGATCATGGAAGACTGTGACCAATATCAGGACAGCTAAGAAGTCCTCCTGGGTAGTAGGGAGCCACTGAAGATCTTTGAGCAGAATCATGCTACATTAAGAAACTCAATCCGGGGGACTTCCCTGGTGGTGCAGTGGTTAAGAATCTGCCTGCCAAGGACTTCCCTGGTGGCGCAGTGGTTAAAAATCCACCTGCCAACGCAGGGGACATGGGTTCGAGCCCTGGTCCAAGAAGATCCCACGTGCCACGGAGCAACTAAGCCCGTGCGCCACAACTACTGCGTCTGCGCTCTAGAGCCCGCGAGCCACAGCTAGTGAGCCCACGTGCCACAACTACTAAAGCCCACGCACCTAGAGCCCATGCTCTGCAACAAGAGAAGCCACCGCAATGAGAAGCCCGTGCACCACAACGAAGAGTAGTCCCCACTCTCTGCAACTAGAGAAAGCCAGAACACAGCAACGAAGACCCAACACAGCCAAAAATAAATATAACTTAAAAAAAAAAAAAGAAAGAAAGAAACTCAATCCAGCAGTTGTATGGCAGATGAATTGGTGGGAGAAGGAGGCAGGGAGACTAGTGACAGGTCCGGGGGAGAGATGAAGGGGGATGGAAAGGGGAGGACCAGTGGGAGGCAGATTGAAAGAAGGGATCTGGCAACCAATTGGATTTGTAAGCAGGACAGAGGGAGGTGCCAAGGATGATGTAAATCGCATGCCTGACCTCCGCTCTTGCACCTCAAGCCTCAGCTGTGTAGCCTTCTCAGAGGCTGGGCTCTGGCCCAAATGCTCACCCAGGCAGAGTCTTCAAGTGCAGGCTTTAGAGCCAATGATTCGTTCAATGTCTCAGCTGGAACAGCCCAACCTCTTCATTGTACAAATAGGTAAACTGAGGCCCAGAGAGAGAGTCACAATGTTAGTGTCAGAGCCAGGATTAGAACCCAGAGCTCCACACTTCCAGTTGCGATGCCTCTGTTGCTTTCTGCCCATTCTCTCAACATGCTCAGATTTCTACCTCCTTTCCATCCCCTGCTCATGGAAGACTCCCCATTCCCCAGAGGGAAACTGAGGCCCAGAAGGTTCAAGTGACCTGCCTGGCTTCTCACTCTATGGCACGAGAAGCCGGCAGTCCTAACTTTCAGCTCCATATACAGGTTCAGCTGCGATTTGCCAAGACCAGGCTCCCTGCCATCTCCCCCAAAGCCTGGCAGGCAGCAGAGGCCAGCCCAGGGGGCAGGGATGACCCACACCATCTCACCCCTGCCTGATGCTACCTTTTCATTGCAGTAATAACATTAAAGGAAAATTGACATGAGTGAACCCTAAGACCCTGTAGCTCTTCCTCTAATTTCTTTTTGCTTAGCTCTAATTCTAGACACAGGCCAGGATCCCAAGAAAGTGGAAGAGGCAGGAATGGAGATCCCTCAGCCCCCACCACTCTTCTCAGACAAGTGTGGGCCTGCAGCCTCTTGGGTATTGATTCAGGGGATAAAAATAACTCCAGGCTGGCCTGGAGCAGCCACTCTTGGGGCTGAAATGACTGAATAAGGCCCTCCCTCCAAAGGGTGGGGGAGTGAGGAGGAAAAGAGAGCAGGACAAAGGCGATTTTTAAAAAAGAGATTGGGGTTTCCCTGGTGGCACAGTGGGTAAGAATCCACCTGCCAATGCAGGGGTCACGGGTTCGAGCCCTGGTCCAGGAAGATCCCATGTGCCGCGGAGCAACTAAGCCCGTGTGGCACAACTACTGAGCGTGTGTTCTAGGGCCTGCGAGCCACAACTGCTGAAGCCCACGTGCCTAGAGCCCGTGCTCTGCAACAAGAGAAGCCACCGCGATGAGAAGCCCGCGTACCGCAACTAGAGAAAGCCCACACACAGCAACGAGGACCCAATGCAGCCAAAAATAAATAGATAAATATTTTTTAAAAAAAAAAAAGATTAAAGAGGGACCCAGAGGGTGGGAAAAGGATAAGAGTGGGGAGGGGCTGGTGTAGGAACCAGGAGGGCAGGCCTTTGGGAAGAACCTGCGTGACAACTCAAAATGAAGGGGCTTGAGAGGTGGGTAAATGTGCTGTGGTTGCGGAGGTAGCTTGGATGATAACAAGAGCCGACTCAGCCCAAGACTGAGCCCTTTATTTCTTTTGTCTCATTTAATCTTAGCAACAGCCCCTTGTGAGGTGGGTGCAACTTCGTTCCCATTTCACAGATGGGGAGACTGAGGCTCAGAGAGGTGCTGTCACTGGCCTGAGGTCACACAGTGTGTCTGACCTCACAGCGCACTCATCTAAACCATGGGGACCCTGGCTGGAAGATGGGCAGGGAGAGTTGATGGATGGGGGAGTGGAGCCCAGCTGGGGTTCTGTCCCCCCACCCCCAACTCTAGTGGTTAAGGGCTAAGGAGAAACAAGCCCACAGGCAGTCAGTGACAGAGCCAGAGTCCCGTGGGCTACATCCCCAAACCTAGTCCTGGGCCCCTTGGGTTACATCACAGGGCCTTGGAGGAGGGGCCAAGCTGGCCCCAGGAAGCCCTGGCGGGGTGAAGGCATCAGAGTTCTCCCAGGGACCCCAGGGAGGAGGTTCAGGCTCCGGTCACAGCAAAAGGCCCAGGCACTCCAGGCTGTCTGTCTCCTGGCAACTGTTGGCTTCCCCAGAGAAGGCACCTCCAGAAAAGCCCCTAGTCCCTAGAAGAGTCTGGTGAAGGCAGCAAGGAGGGGCAGACAGAGGGCCCACAGGGTGAGTCTCTCTCTGTTGGTGCTACTGGGCAGTGGACCCAGAGATCGGCTACCTTCCCCACCCCCACGTTCACACCTTCTCCCTTTGGGCACCAGGCTGCATCCCTGCAGGTACACCCAGGTGCTCCTGAGCAGATGCCCTCCATCATAGGCAGCTGCGGCTCCTGGGCTCCCTCCTGCCCACCTCCAGCCCCTGAGCTCTGATGGAGTTGGGGGGAGCGGGGAGTGGGCTGCAAAAATGATCAAACCCAGCTGGCTGAGGGATGGGGCATTCTGGGATCTAAGGGTTGGGGACTGGGAAGACAGGCAGGCAGAGGAGGAAACTGCTCCTGCAACCAGTGCCCTTGGCGGGGCCCCTTGGCTGCCCCGCCCCACCCGCTCAGCGCCAAGCCGAGCGCCATGCAGGCTTTGCTTCACCAGGTGGCGCTGTCCTCCTTGAAGCTCTTCTCCCCGCCCTGCGGAAAGTGGCGGAACCAGAGCTTAGAAAGGGCAGGGCTGATGTTCAGAAAAGAGCACCGGCACAGCAGTACTGGCTGTGACAACAGTGAAACGCACGTGTCCTATTGGTAAATAGCCACTGCCCTGAATCCCCCTTTAGTGTCCCCAAGCAGCCCAGGACACTCCAGCCTTCCCAGACCCACCAACTAAACAGTAAAGAGAACGTGCCCTGGGCAGCAGGGGTCCTCCAGGCTGTCTCTGATTGGTTGGCATGTTAAATATTTGTACATCACCTCTGGGAAGGGGCAGATACTCCCCCCCCAGCCCCAAAAGCAAGCCTCAGTCCCACAAGCGTTGAACTAACCCCCAAATCGAGGCCACAAAGCTTACACTGGAAAGATCTCTGGGCTTAGAATCAGCTAGATTGGCTCAGGCTATGCCTCTGACACCTCTCTTTCATCTCTTTCCCTCTCTGGGCTGCAGTAAAAGAAGCATGGAGGGGGGGGTAGTTTAGAGGGTTTCTGAGAATCCTTATCGACACTTTTACTGGGCTGTGATTCCTGATCTCACACACATACTCTTTCTCTCTATCTCTAACATACACACGACTGCCTTTTCTTATCTCTGCCCCCAGAACTGACCCATGACCTGGAAATGAAAGAGGCCCAATCTCACCAACAAGGTAAGAGGACAAGTGGTCACCTTTTCCCCACCACTTAGGACCCAAGCCTTGTCCACCCCTGGTCCAGACTTGGGGACAGCCACTCCTCAGCTTACTGAGTGCAGGACGTCAGCCTCATTTGCCCACTCAGCTGGGTGACCTTGTGCAATGAAGAACCTGCACCACCATACATAGTGCCCTGTATCCCTGTCTCTGTCCAAAGTGGGAAAATGAAAGCAGGAAGGAGATGGTGTCCAGGAAGTCCACATGGCTGACTTCATTCCTTTGTGACCCACCTCCCTAATCCTTCTCATCCTTGTACGAGTGATTCTCACAGTCCGTGTCCACACCCTCCAAGATGCTGAGTGTCAAGATTCAACACGATGACAATATGGGGTCTTTGACTTCAAGGAACATAGTCTAGAGGAGGAGCAAAGAGACACAGGCACATTAGCAAATTCTTCATTTTACAAAAGCATGACTTCTTGCCGTTGTAGAAATTCCACTGAAATATTTGTTTATAGATTATTACTTCACCTGTAAAATGGGGAGTGGTGTGGGGAGATGGTGTTCAATGAGTATAGAGTTTCAGTTTTGCAAGATGAAAAAATTCTAGAGATCTGTTGCACAACAATGCGAGTATATTAACACTACTGTACACTTAAAAAATGGTTAAGATGGCAAAATTGGTTCCTTGTTTTTTTGCCACAATTAATTTTTTCAAATGGGAGGGGTTGCATTGTTGAGATCTTAATTTCCAGATGATATGATCTCTGAGAACTAGGACTGGGTGTTACCCATCGTCTCTCAGTGCAAAGCACATTACCTGACATGGAGAGGGACTCAGTAAATGCTTGATTTGAAAGGAATCACAAAAGTAGTATTTCTTGGCCAGGAGGGTTTTAAGAATGGGCTCCCTGCCATATTGATGTGCTGCTTATAGATCAACAGCGACAGGACCAAGAGTTAGGCGCAGGGAAGGCTGGAAGTTTAAGGTTAAGGTAAAATGCTAGGAGCGCTACTAACTGCTTTGCATATCATGCATAAACATCTAAACACTTATGGCCCTGAACTAATTCTGCCGACTGCTTTAAGTGGCAGTCATGGGCGGCCTCTTTGTGCCTACGTGCTTGGAGGAAGGGGTCACATATCCCAGACACCAGGCAAGAACAGTTCTGTGACAACAGTAGCTTTTACTCCACCTACTGTCCTTCCTCTGAAAGGGCTTTTGGGGTCATCTGGGCTCAAGGCACTGCCCCAGTGTCCTGGTTTTTACTTTCCCTCTCAGTGGGCTTGAGAGCTCTCTTTCCTTGTCCTCCTTTTATATGAAAATCACTTGGTGGTTTTCCTGTCCCCTCCAGAAGTCACCTTTTACCTACCCTTTGTCACCATTCTCACTCACATGCGCCAGTCCTGGGATACAGACCCTGCTGAAATGGAGTTTATGATCCAGGAGGTAGGGGTCCTCAACCCTGTGGGTACATGAGAATCACCAGGGAAGATTCAAGAAGTACCCTTTCCCAGTACTTGATACTTTGATAGGACCCAGGAAAACTATTTTTTAAAGCTCTCTGGATGGTTCCAGTGTATATCCAGGTTTGAAACCCAATGCAGTGGGCAAAGGCAAACAATAAACAAGTTTAAAAAAACCCCACAAAATGTAATAAATGCTCTTTATGAAGGAAACAAGGTTCGCAGCACACTGACTCCCCTTTTCTGCTCACACTCCCAGTTCTTTCAGTCCCTTGTTCTTGTATGTCTCTCCTGCTACGGGGCTTTTGCACAAGTCCTTCCCTCTGACCAAAGCATCCTTCTCTCCCCTGTTCACTACTTAACTCCTATTCACCTGTCAGATCCTAGCCCAAGTTGCTCTTCGGCTGAGAAGCCTTCCTGGATTAGGTCACAGTCTCCTGTTACAGTCGTGGTATTGGCACGTGTCACAGATGCAACCTCACATTCTTTTGTGGTTATGTACCATACCTCTCCCACTATGCTTGCTGTGAGCTTCGTGAGGAATGTTTTCCTATCCACCATACCCACAATGCCTAATACAACGCACAGAGTCAGGGCTCAACAAACAGTCATGGAGTGAATAAATGGTCAGGGAAGGGTTTGCACTTAAGGGGCGCACTGAAGAATCAGAGTGGCCAAACAGAAGGCAAGATAGGTGCAAGGGCCTCGAGGAGGAAAGAGGCAGGCCAGCGTCGCAGGCGCGTGGGGAGTGAGGGCGAGCGCCGCAGGACGTGCAGTCGGGGGCGGGGGGTGCCGGGCTTCGCTCTTAGGATCGGTGAGCTGTGCAGGTAACAGCCAGGCGGGGACCCTCACTCTCCCCTCCCTCTCCCCTGCCCAGAGTTGGCGTCCCGGGAGCTGGAGAGCAAGTGCCGCGAGCTGGAGTCACAGCTGGCGGCGCGGGTGGCGGCCAACGCGGAGCTGCGGCGGGAAGTGGCGCAGCGCGAGGCGCTGGTGTCGGCGCTGCGCTGCAGCCTGCGCGCCGAGGAGCGCCACTTCCTGGAGGAGCTGCGTCGCCGCAGCCACCGAGCCACCGTGCTGGGCACTGAGCTGCAGAAGCACACCGAGGCGGCCGCCTACCTCTCCTACCAGCTGCACGCGGCGCGCCAGAAACTGCAGACTCCGCGCCCAGGCCCCGGCGCCGCCGCCGCCGCCCCCGAGCCCCGGATCCGCCGGCGCGCACAGCGGGCCCGCCGCCCGCCCGCAGCCGAGGCCGCCGCCAAGGGCCCCGGCCGGGACTGGGCCGCCCGGGAGCGCTCGGCCGGCGCCCCGGACGACGCCGATGCCATGCCAGACCCCGCGCTCTTCCTCTACGCCCGGAGGCCCCCGCGGCCCAGTGGCCGCAGCCCGCGCCAGCCGCCTCCCCAGGAGCCCCCTGACCAAGCCACCCGGCCGGCCGCGCCCAGCCCGCCCAGTGCGCCGGCGGACCCGGAGTAAGCGCGGGGCCGGCTGGGAGGGGCGGGGCGGGGAGCGGGGGAAGGCGGGCCCGGGGCCCGACCAGGGACGCAGCTCTGGCCGCGCGGGCGGGTCCCAGGGGCTGAGGCAGCCGGTCCCTCCCCCAGGGAGCGGGCGGAGGCGGCCCCTGCTCCCCGCCCCTTCGCCCCTCCCAGCCGCCCCCGCCTTTTGTATTTGCCAACAACGCCGAAGCTTTGAGCTCTCCCCTCCCGCCGGGGACCTCCTCCGCGGGGCCCAGCGAATGCATCCTTTTTCTAGGAGAGGACTCACAGTACCGATCTTTATCTGGTCCCCACCCTGCCACTGGGAGGGGAAGGGGAAGGGGCGGGGGTCACGCCCTGCCCCGGGAAAGCTGACAATCATTTGGCGGGAGGGGGAAGACTGGGCGGCCTACGGAAAGGAACCAGAGTGGCCCTTAGCATCCTTAGGCCTTCCAGCTCCCCGCTGCGGCCTCCCCCAGCCCCCCACGGCTGCCCTTCCCGCCGAGCCTTCCTCCAAGGGGAAGTTCGGGGTGAGGTCTAGAGGCTGGACCTTCACCTTGGAAGCCGCTTCTCCTACCCCCTACCCTGTTGATAGGTCCTTACAGGTGAGCACGGAACACTTTAGAAGTTGCCTCCTCCAGAGCCTCTGATGGGGAAAGTGTGGACTTATTGAAGTTTGAACTTCTGGAAATTAGCACCCATAGACCCTTAGAGAAGATTACAGCGTGGGTTTGGTGGCAGATCCTGGGCTAGAGCTGTCTCCAGCTCAGTTCTGCCCCAGGATGCCGACCTAGGTATTGACTCGGGACACGCCAGAGTCGGGCTGCCCCATCAGGCTTATGGAAGGGTTAGAAAGTGCTTTCAGGAGGTAGCTGGGAACCTGAAGGCTGCCCTGGGAGTTTTCCTAGTCCTGTTTATTGGTGCTAATTTTGCCCAGCTTCCTCATTAGCTGGCTGCACCCAGAGGCAGGAAGAAGGGCCCGGCTTCTCGGAAGTGGCAGCTGTTGAGAGAGGTTTGGGTTTGCTGGGGGGAGGGGGGGAGGGAGTGGACAGGTGAGGCCCCAGCCTGGCCCTCTCCAGGAATGCCCCCAATCCTATCAGACCTGACAGTGGTGGGGTGCTTCGTGCCCTCTCTCTAGGTTGGGGAGTGGCAAAAGGAAAGAATACGGCCCACCTCCTAACGCGTTTCTCCCCATCTCCCCTTCACGACCAAAGGCAGGAAGTGAAGCTCCAGTCCAGTTCATTGCCCCCACCCAGTCCAGCCTGGAAAGAAAGACAGATCCCTAGAACCCTGTCCTCTCATGCCATCCCTCCTCTGTTGGTCCTGCATCAAGTCCTAAGTGCCTGTGATGTCTTCCAGGGGCTGCCGTGGGAGGACGTGGGGCAGGGAGAGTCCTTTATCTCACTCACAAGCACCCATCCTGGCAGGTCCTGACCTGGTTGGGGCTGAGCCTTCTGTTTGTCACCCAGGGGTCTGGGAGGTCCCTAGGGTGATGAACCCTTTTTCCGTCACGGCCCCATGAAGAAGAGGGGGAAAGAACCCCAATTATACCCTCTTTCACGGTATATGTTAGAGGGAGCAGGACACCCGTGAGCTCACACATACGCAGCCCCCTCCCAGCTCAGGACTGCTGAGACCACTGAGCAATAACCAGGCCTGGTCTAGGTGTCCGCCACCGAGGCACCCTCGGAACGGACCGTGCTGTCCAGTCTCAGGGGCCACAGCAGTGGCCTAGGGTCCTTGCTTTGCCTGCTCCCACCTCTCCCCTCCCCAGTCTCTGTGGCTGTGCCTCTACCCTCTGTGTCCCCTCAAGGGTGGGCGACCCACCGTACCCCCTCGACCCGTTGCCTTTCCTTTCAGAGCAGGTGTGAGTGAGGAGGCCTGTCTCTGCTCTCGGCTGCTCTCACCTGACGGGGCCCAGAGGATCCTGGGCAGGAGGGAAAGGGGGTCTTTCTGGAGGCAGCCTCATCTTCCACAATCAAACTTTTGGGGTGAACCGGGTGACTTTGTGACACCAATTCTTCTACAGAGATGGTGAAGTACTTTACCCACCCGCTCACCCACTAAAAGCCATAGCTACGCCCACCTGGCCTCCCCCGGCTCTATAGCAATAGCCCTCTTCCTCCTTCCCTCCTGTGTACCCGAGCTGTCTGGCTGGGGGCCCCCAAAACCCCTACCGCACGGATCCTCCCGTGGCCTGCCTGCCTCTCCCCAAGTGACCCCATCAGCACCTCCCACCTCCTGTCCCTCTTCCAGCAATCAGAGATGATGACTCTTAATTGTGAGGTACTTGGAGGTACCCCACATGAAGGTCCAGCGTGCTGGGGCGGCTGACTCGCTGACTCCCAGCTGAGGTGTCGGCGAGCTGGGGCAGGGGCCAAGGCAAATACAGGGTTCAGATTTTATGAGAAATTCCCGTTCCCTCTCCCTCTCCTGGAAATAATGGACAGAGGCTTCCTGCCTCTCTCCTGCACCTGGGTTTGGAACAGAACCCTCAGGGCAGCAGAATAAGACTGGGAGCCAGTGGCCTGCCCTTGGCCTCAGCGGTCAGAAACTCCTCAGCCTTGCCCTCAGCTTCTGGCCCTCCCCTTCTCCTAGCCTGGGGGACCCGCCCTGCCAAGGGAAAGACGCCCTCCCTTGAGCCCCTAAAAAGTTTGGCTGGCTAGAAGGGAAACGATTGTTTCCTTCCCTCTCCCTGTCCTCCACCTCTCCCCTCTTCTCTGCTGCATGAATCCCCATTGGGGGAGGACTGTGTTGACACGGACACTCAGGGGCCCTAGCTGGAACCAGGAGCTGCAGGTGGGGACCCCTCCCCGTTCTGGAAGCCAATCAGGGACCTGTGGGCAATACAGCATGAGGCTTTGTACCCCTGCCCCTCAATATCCCACCCACAGCAGCCTGCAGTTTGGGGGGCCAGGCCAGGGCTGAAATGGGGTAGCCCTTCCCCAAACAAGCAGCACAATAGAGGTCTCCCTGATGGAGAGGAAGGAGGCCGAGAGGGTGTGGAGGAGCATCTCCTCATCACGGAGAGCCAGGGATCTCTAAGCACCCTCTCGCTGAGGTGCCAGCCTTGAATGGGGGACGCGCGAGGCTTCAGAGCCACCTGGCAGGAGCCCCATGGGCGCGGCAGAGGGATCCTGCTCCAAGTTCTCTGTTGGCTGCGCTTTTTAATCCAATGCTTTTCAGAGTGTATTCACTCACCCACAGAAATAGAACCCTGTGCTTTAGGGGTGACTGTCATATGCCTTATTCTTAATAAAATATCTGAAAAACACACAAGTCAGACTTTTTTCCTGTGGGCACTCTGCGCCCCCATCCCCTCAGCCTACCACAGGTCTGTGGAAAGGCCGTGGAGGAGATAGCGAATGGTTTGGGAGTTAGCCAGGGGGTTGGGTGAGACTGGCAGCTGAGACCCTGAAGTCCCCTCAGTAGGCATTCCTCACATAGAGCATAAGGCGTTCATCTGAGATGTCTGTCCTGATGCTCAGCTTAGCCCTGTCCCTCTCTCCATGCCACCCCAACCCAAATGAACAAACAAGACCTTAGATCAGAGGCTCCTGGCAAGGGTTGGCAGGGGTAGATTGGAAGGGTTCCGTGCCTGGAATTGCCCATTGTTGTGGCCTAGAAGGAATCCTGGGGTTCTGGACGTCTTTGGCTATGCCAGTTCTTCTGCCCTGACAACCATCTCCATCTGATCCAGATGCAAGAAGCCCAGCATCCCGAAGAAGAGCCCTAATCTTATCCTCCACTAACAAGAGCTATCCAAGGACTGCGGTCTGGGAGCTCAGCGCACTCAGCATCTTCAGGCCTGTACATTTTCAATGTAGGTCTGTGTTGTGGATGGCTCTAGGAGAAAAAGCAGCAGCCCTGCCTTCTAAGAACGCAGGGGACATATTGGTTTTGCCTGCAGCCTTTCTTCTGATAACAGTACCTATTACTTCCTTTCAGGCAACAGCCTTCTCCCAGCTTAGTCAATGTGTTGCGGGGCTCTGACCCCACCCGTGTGACCCAGGTAAGGTAGGTCACACTGATTGGGCTGGAAATGGGCATGCAACTCTAAGCCAATAAGAGTCCATCTCAGAACTTTTACTGTAACCATTCATTTAACACACCAAGTTAGGTGCTAGGGATACAGCAGGGAACCAAACAGAACTACTGAAGGACAAATTCTTGGGTGGCTGAAATGGCAGAACATCAGCTTGGAAATCTGGTGGGCCATTTGCCGTCACCGGGGACGGGGCTACCTGATTGTGAAGCGCCACAAAAGAAGTAAAACCTAGAAAGGGGGAGGCAATTCCTTTTTTTTTTTTTTCTGTCATGAGTGGTTTTTTTTTTTTAATTTTTGTGACATATAGTTGATTGACAATGTTGTGTTAATTTCTGCTGTACAGCAAAGTGATTGAGTTATACATATATATTCTCTTTCATATTCTTTTCCATTATGATTTATCATAGGATATTGAATATAGTTCCCTGGGCTGTTGGACCTTGTTGTTTGACAGTTCCTTATAATTAAGCTGCCTGGATCCTGCTATGCCTGCAGCCCATATACCTGTGCCTTTTTCAGTTATATAGACCAATAAGCAGCCCCCCCGCCACTTTTGTATTTAAATGATCAGCATTAATTTGTGGGGGTTTTCTGCTTTTTATTTTAACCTAAATTTAGACTTAGAGAAAAGTTGCAATAATGATGCAGAGTTCCTGCCTGTCTCTCACCCAGCTTCTCCTAATGTTAACATCTTATTTTATCATAGTACAATTATCCAAACCAAGAAATTAACATCGGTACGTGGCTATTAACTAAACCACAGACTTTATTTGAGTTTCACCAGGTTCTCCCCTAGGGTCCTTTTTCTGTTCCAGGAACCTATCCAGGGTCCCATTCCATTTAGTTATTTTTTCCTTAGTCTCCTCCAATCTGTGACACCCTTTTAAAAGCCATTTTGAGTTGGATTTTAGTGCCTTGCTAACTCCATGAGACCTGATGATGTCAAAGAGCAAATAATCAGTGGGGGAGAGACAAGTGGACCCCAACTAATAAAGTACATTGAATAAAATATTTGCTGCACTCTAAGGAGGGGGTGACTGCTTCCAGCTGCCAGGACTGAGGAACAGTTTCACAGACACAATGGTATCTGAGCTTGATTTCATAGACCTTGATTTCATGCCTCTTTTCCCATGATGCTTCTCCCACAGAAGTTGGCATTGAGAAAAGGTAAATGACTTGCTCAAGGTCACATAGTGAAGGAGTCAGGGATGGAGATAGATGACGTCACATACAGTCATGCACAGGGGATTGGTTCCAGGACACTCCCCCCAAACTCCCTACCCCTCCCCCCTCCTCCACAGAAACCAAATCTGAGGCTGCTTAAGACCCTGATAGAAAATGGGAATTCCCTGGCAGTCCAGTGGTTAGGACCCTGTGCTTCCACTGCCAGGGGCCCAGACTTGATCCCTGGTTGAGGAACTAATCCCTCAAGCCATGTGGTGAGGCCTTAAAATTTAAAAAAAGGCATAGTATTTGCATACATCCTCCCTTATTCTGTATTTATTTATTTATTCTTTGGCCATGTTGCTCTGCTTGTGGGATCATAGTTCCCCAACCAGGGATCCAACCCAGGCCCCTGGCAGTCAGAGCGTAGAGTCCTAACTGTTGGACTGTCAGGAACACCCAATTCTCCCTTATACTTTTTTTTTTTTTTTAACATTTTGGTGTATATATATATATTTTTTTTTTTCTTTTTCTTTTTAAATATTTATTTATTTAGCTGCACTGGGTCTTAGTTGCGGCATACATGTGGGATCTAGTTCCCTGACTAGGGATCAAACCCAGGCCCCCTGCACTGGGAGCATGGAGTCTTAACCACTGTGCCACCAGGGAAGTCCTCTCCCTTATACTTTAAATCATCTCTAGATTACTAATAATTCCTAGTACAATGTGAATGCTATGTAAATAGTCATAAATGCGGTATAAATTGTAAATACAATGTAAATGCTATGTAAGTAGTTGCCACTGCAGCAAATTCAAGTTTTGCTTTTCGGAACTTTCTGGAATTTTTTTTTTTTAATATTCTTGGGAGTTCCCTGGGTCTAGTGGTTAGTGTTCAGTGCTTTCACAGCTGTGGCCCAAGTTCAATCCCTGGTCGGGGAATTCCCACAAGCCCCATGGTGCCGACAACAAAAATTTTTTTTTTAATTTATTTTTTTGATCCGCGGTTGGTTGAACCATTCATGCGGATGCAGAACCCACAGATATGGAGGGCCAACCTGCATATTGATTCCTACCCAGTGTGCCCAGGTGGAGGAGACAGGGCAGCCCTGGCTGCCCCATCTTCGTTCCTCGCTCCAGCCTCTGGGGATCAGGTTTGAGCCCAGGGTGAACTAAGGCTAGAGCTGTAACAGGCCCAGGAAGTATGGCCCAGGCCCCCCTCTGCTTGTCCCTAGCCTTTTATCTCCCCAGGTAGCTGAGGAAGGGAAGGACCAGCCCTGGGTAAACATCTACCCAGGACTCTGGGGTCCCATTTCAGGTAGAGAAAAAGGAGAGAAGAAGAGGAAGGGGGAGAGGGATTGGCCTTTGGGTCCTCCCAGAGACCCCTGTAGGTTCTAAGCTGAGCCCAGGCCAGAGTCACAGTACAGAGCAGAGATGTGCAATGTTAGCACCACCTAACTCAGAGATCATATTTTTCAATCCTTTCATTTTATAGATCATGAGACTGAGGCCCAGGGAGTCTTACTAACTGTCATCCCTCCTGGCAATTCTGACCACACAGGTTTGGGTTGAGGGAGGTGGACCCTCTCTCATGGGTTCCTGGAGTCAGGCCATTGGGGTAGGGGACTCCTTCCTGCAATCCGGGAAGTTTGGGTCCCGGCTCACCTCTCCAACCCCTTGGGAACTCTGGAAATGAGGGGGGGAAATAGGAATGCCCAGCTGAATGGGCGCATCCATCATAACAATAATTAGGGAGATGGGAGGCTTTAAGCAGACTCATTATGTAGGGTAGGTCTCAGCCTCGGTAAACTTCCCTTTGTATTTACTTAGCATCTGTACCCAGAAGCCATAAAGATGGGGAGTACCACCCAGGCAGGCAGCCCTGAGGATGGGGACTGTGTAACAGGAGCCTGCTAAGGAAATGGGAAGAGGATCCACAGAAGCTATGTTGCAGGTTCGAAGGCTGCTGGGACTGCTTAGCCACTAGGCCCCTGGACAGACTGGTCATTAGCGCCCTTCCTTACTTATCAGTAGGCACTCGCAGACCTTGATCATAAGGAGGACATAGGAGTAAGGCCAGGGCAAGGTATAGGCTGGTGCCTCTCCAGGGCTCAGCATGGTGGGTCTCAGCTAGGCATCACGGAAATGATCTGAAGCTCTGTATACAAAGGTCAAAGCATACAGTACATAAAAGGAATATTTGCTCAGAAAGCCCAGATATTATAAATATCTGGTGAAACCCTGTGGAGGCATCTAAAGGACTGCTTGGCTCTGCCTATACCCGGGACCTCCATTCAACCAACCACTGTGCATTAAGCACCTACTATGCATCAGGCTCTGGGGAGATGCTGGGGATACCAGATAAATAAGGTATGGTCGTTGCCTTCAAGAAGTCCCCTGGTCTAGCAGCTGGACTCCTCACCTGAGAACCAGACATCCTAGTTTGGCCAAGACAGTGTTGGTTTATGCCTGTTGTCCCAAGGTCATTATTAATAGTGTCCACTTTCACTCCCAGAGTGTCCTGGTTTGCATGATACATCACGTGGTCACCCTAACCATAGCACAACGTATAGGCAATGGTGGAAATAGTTGGCGAAAGTGATGGGAGTAGTTGTTGTTAAGACTATGGTGAGAAGACATTGGTGGAAGCAGCTTGAAACTGGACTAGGTACAATTCTCCAAATTCCTTAAGTTTCAGGTGGGAGACTGGTTAAAAGACTTACAGTACATCTACACACTGGGATATTATCCAGCCATAAAATGTAATGAGAAAGCTCTTTGTGTACTGATATCTCCAGAATATAGTAAGTAAAAAAATCAGGGTAAAGTATGTTACCATTTGTGTAACTAAAGGGAAATACACACACACACACACACACACACACACACACACACACTCATATGCAAAGAATATCTCTAGAAGAATATAAAAGAACTGGTAATCCTGGTGGTCTGGGAAGGAAAACCAGATGGCTGGGGGCAGGTGACAGATTTCACTGTATGCCCTTTTATGCTTTTTGAAATTTGAACCATGTGAATGTATTCAAAGTTCTAAATAAAATTAAAAGGTTTTAAAAAAAATAAACGAGTGAATAAATTCCCAGGGTCCCTCTTTCTGTGTCTTCCCATATGATTCCTCTGTCTTGCTCATTAGAATCCTTCTTATCCTTCAAAGCTTCAGAGGAGCTTCTTCCCAGAAGCCCTCCCTGACTGCCTCCCCTGCACACTCAGAACAGCCTTCTTTAAAGGCTTTTATTCTGCAGCCTTAGACATGAGATTGCTGTGTGCATCTCTCTTCACCCACCAGATTGAAACTTCTCCTGGCAGGGACTGGGTCTGGTTCATCTCTGATCTTCCTGCAGTACTGAGCTCCTGCAAGCTTTGCTTGAAAGAGAGAGTGAAGTATTTTACACTATCTAAAGTGCTTTGATGATCACTATCTCCTCCCAACAGTTAGGTAAGAGGCCAGACAATGGATGTTTTTATTTGACAGAGGAAGTTCCTGAGATTCAGAGGCGTGATAGTCAAGTGACTTGCTCAAGGTTTCGAGAAGAGACAAGGTTGCAGGATGCAGATTTCCAATCCAACTCCGTGTTAGGTTCATGTACCACCTGACTGCCCACCTTCCATGTGGTGGGCTGTAGTCAGGTCTTGTTTTTATTTCCAGCCTTCTTGTGCAATAGTCCAAACTCGTCTCCCCCGGTCTAGCTCAGTCCCCTTATCCTCCACACAGCAACCAAAGCATTTCTCACCTCCCTTCCTCCTGCTTAAGTGCTTAAAGCCTTTCACTGGCTCCCCTTCCCATCACTCGTACTCCAGGACAAAGTCCATTTTCCTCTGCAATTTTTATGAGGCACTAGGCCCACCCCAGCCAACCTCTGCAGCTTCAGCTTCCCGATTTCTATTAGTTCCTGGAATATGCCTTTAAGTGCTTCCCAATGGCTTCCTGGGCCTGTGCAAGGAAGACCGTCTCACCCTCTCGGCTTGGAGAACTTCAGGTCACTGGCAAGACCTGGTAAAATGTCATCTGGGCAGCATTCTCTGACTTCACTTCTCAGTCTCCACCAGGCCCCAAACATCTGAAAACACGAACTACTGTAAAGTGTCCAGGCTGTGGATTTAGCCTGTTCTAGCTAAAGTCTTGCTCTCTGTGTGACCTTGATCTTAGCTTCCTCCACTCAAAAATGGGGCTAATGTGCCAGCGCGGATGTGAGGACGCATCTGGTGGGGGGTGTCGAGGCCGCTGGCAGAGGGGAGCCCGTTGTGGCTCAGGACAAAGTTTGGTGGGCTCATCTCTGGTACTTCATCCCTATTAGCCACCCGCCACCCCTGCCTCTTGTGACCATGCCCTAGGCTACCCTCCACCCCCTCCTCAAGAAGCCAGACGCACACCCGCTCCACCCCTTCGGGGACGGCAAGCTCGGTGAGCACGGCGCTGAGTGAGGGTCATATTAACACCTCAGATTAGACACCGCGTGGTCATTTGGCAGATCTGCAATAGGAAGCCATTGGGGGAGGGGACTGTAAGCAATAGTAGTCCAGACGAGTCTCCCCGCAAGGTCAAGGTGCCCGCCCGACGGGCAACGAACCGCCAGGACTCCTCTCCGTAGCCCCGCCCCTCGAGGGGGCCCGAAACCTTTCTCTAGCCAGAGCCAGGGTACGTTCCCTTTAAGGCGTTCAAGAAAGTCACCACGTTGGTACACAGCGAACGAGGCGTGGCGTATTTTGTCCCTCGCCGGCCTTCGTGGGCCGGGCCGGGCGCGAGGGCGGGGCAAGGGAGCGGCGGTGGGGTCAAAGGCCATAGCGCGCACCACGTGGGCCGGTGACTCCGTCCTTCCCGCAGCTGCAGCGGCGCGCAGGGCACTTGGGTTAGTGGCGCGGCGGGCGGCGCGGACAGCCGAGGCGGACGTCCGCTCCCGCCGCCATGGTCATCAAAACAGACGAGTTGCCGGCGGCCGCCCCGGCGGACAGCGCCCGGGAGCCCAGCTCGCAGGCCGGTGGCAAGGGGCGGCCGGGCGCGACGGGTGAGCGGGGCCGGGGTCGGGGGGCAGCAGGGCGGGAGGCTGAATCGGGCCGAGTGGGCGGGGGGGTTCGGGGTTGCGCGGGGACCGCCGCCTTCCCTCCGCGCCTGGCTGGGTTGCATCTCGCCGAGCCCTCCACCGGGCGCCCCCGCCCTGAAGGTCACCTTCACTGTCGCCCCCGCCTGCGGCCCGGGCTTCACACGTGGGGTCCCGGGGCGGGCAGCGGCGGCTAACACACGCGTGCCAGATCGCGGGGAGACGTGCACGCGCATGCAGTTTCGGGGTGTGCCGGCTCCGCAGACGGACGGACGCGGCGGCCCCACCCCCTACGCCCCCGGGCATGGGGAACTCTCCGGACTGGGGTCACTTGACACTTGCTCCGTCAAGCACCCCCTTCGCGTCAGGATCCCAAGCATTCCCTGTGCACAGGGCTGCAGGCTTGCGAGTTAGACCTAGCTTGGGACTTCTCAGGCTTGGTCTGTGGGAAGAGTGCAAGTTGGGGTGTGTGTTTCGTGAGGGGGTTTCTGTGGTTCGTTCCCGGAGGCAAGGCTTTAACTCCAGGTCTGCAGAGTCTGATCTCCGTCCTGTAAGATGTCGGCCTGGAGGGCAGACCTGGGGGTCTGCCTGTGTATGGGGGCAAAGCCAAACTCCTTGGCAGGAGGTGGTGTTTGTGCCAGAACTTGATCATTAACCCGCCTTATTGCGAAAAGTGGGTCAGCCCAGAGTTGCTGTTTTTAAGGCAAAGGTCATCAGCATGGAGTCAAGCTCCCAGCTCTCCCCCGTGGGGCTGTGTGGCATTGGCTTTGGGAGTGGCTGCAGTTTTTCTCAGGTGGGGCCTGCCTCTCTCCTGGGCCTCCTCTGTTTCCTCTGTTTCTTCCATCACATCTTTGACTACAACCCTGAGGTTGGAAGCCCCTTCCCAGCCCTTGGGTTGTCATCTCCAAACCTTCCTCAGAGTCCCAGGGCTGGGCTGTGTCCCTCTGTGCCCTGGGTGACAGTGGGAGTGCAGAACTCCCCGTGCCTCCCACTCCCCATAACTCTCCTCAAAAGGGACTTGTCATCTTCATCTCCCTTCCCAGCTTGGGTGAGTCAGGACGGGAACAGTGTTAGGTGGGTTCTCTGACCCTGTAACTGATCACAGCCAGGTTAGCTGATGGTGGGGGATAGGTACTGTGGCAGCTTTGCTGATTGCCTAGAGAAGGCCAAGGTTTGGGCAGAATGACAAATGCTGATGACTCCAGCCTGCCAGGCTTCACCCTGATGAGGTTCTGAATCAGTGGAGCAGGCTAGATAAGAGGAGGTCGATTTCCCCTCCAGCAAAGAGACCTGAAGAGAGGAAGCGACTTGGCCAAGGTCACACAGCAATTCAGCATTTGGATTTCCAGCTCACAGCCAGATTGCCAAGGCTGCCCTGGCCTGTCCCAGAGGAAGCTGGGAGAGGCATGTTGGCTGGGATCATATGCTGAGAACATAGGGACTGAGGAGAGGGGAGAGTGTTGGAGAATTTCTTTGAGGGGGTCTGTCTGGGGCAACCTGGGTCAGGGGAGGGTACAGCTGTTCATTTTGGGGAAACTGGAAGCATACTAGCAGGTGGAACATTGGCTCCCTAAGCCTCTGGGAGGCTTGTATAGAGCTAGGACTTGAATTATAGCCAGTCCGAATCTATTCAAAGGAGGAGGAGGCCTTAATGGAGACCCCCAACAGGCCCTCACCCAGGCTTCTGACCTCAGAACCCAGCTCTGGAAGTCCCCTTGAGGGGGACTAGTCCCCTTGAGGAGGTGATCAAGGCCTTTTATGGGGGGACCAAGGATCAGTTGCCTTGTTGGGAAAAAAGCTAGTTTTAGGGGTTAAGAGAATAGCAGGTTTTTCAAGTTTATGGTGGTGTGTCGAGTTCCTTCTGCCTAGGCGAGGGCTCCTTGGAGCTGAGGCCCAAAGCGGAGGGGAAGGGGGCTGGCAGACAGGAGAGGAACTTGGGGGCTTAGGGGAGCTCCTGGACAGGACCCCAGAGCTCTTCTTTTGGGTAGGTCTGAGCAGAGCAGCTCAGGGAACACTGGACTCTCCCCAGACCCTGCAGACCGCTTCTGGCCTGGGTGGAGATGGGAAGGAGGCAAACAGATGCCTACCTCCTTGGGATCTTCCTTAGGCTACCTGCCCCCACCCCTTTCCCTTGAAGCCCCAGATTCCTGGGATGGGGTGATATGCCTTCTGAGGCCTAACTTCCTGCAGGAGCCTCACCCTGTGAGGTTTTGGCTAGGGCGGGGCCTGGCCCTGGCACAGTCTACTGAGTGAGGCCATGCCAGGCTGGGAAACGCACACAGGGGCCACCTGGGATGGCTTACGTTTCTTTTCTGACTCCTTTCAGCTGCCCATTGGGTCCACGTTCTCCCGGGCCAGGCCAGGGCTGTGCTTTATCTCTTCATTCTGGGGGGCGGGAGGTGTATGCCATGCAGTTTGGGCAGCCCCTTCCCATTCTGCAGAGGATCACCTCTCTCCTTCCCTAAAGCCCAGATGCTCAGGGGTACCCCCTGGGGTAAGGAAGCAGGGGTGTAGAGGAAGGGGGTACTGTTTACCTGGTGGGCGCTGCAGCCTGGGGGCTGGCGCTCAGGCCTGGGCTTGGGCGTCTGACAGACCTGGTTGTTTTCTTGACCTGGCTTGGCTGCCTGTTGCCTCTGCGACCTTGGGCAGCTTGGTTACTAACCTTCTGGAGCCGCAGTTTCCTCAAGTGAGATGGGCTGGTCGAGCTGCTGGAGGGACCTGCCACGGGCTGGGCCTAGAGTGAGCGTTGGCTCTGTGGTAACCAGGGTGGGAGTGGTTGCAGCAGTTACGCAGGGGTCACTGCCAGGCTGCTCTGCCCCCCCCTTCTCCACAGGGCTGGGGTGTGTCTGGGGAGGGCGGCGGAAGAAGAGGGGCTCTGCCGGGGCCTGGCCCTCCGCGGAGTGTGCGCGAGCCAGAACCCTCGGCGGGGGGTGCGGGGAGCCGTGGGCCTGTTGGGTGCCGGCCCTTCAGGGCTGCGTGGAGGGGGCCTGAGGGAGCCTGGCTGCCGCCCCCACCCTGGTTAGTACGGCTGCCGGAGCAGGCCCGCCTGGGCCCTGGCAACAAGTCAGAGGCCCTGGGAAGGCGCCCTGGCAAGGCTGGGCATGTTCCTTCTCCACAGCCGCGCGGCCTTTGGTCTCTCGCTGCCAGCTCTGTTTTCCCCAGGGGAGAGACTTGGTTTTCTCCTGGCAGCGCAGGGGCTGCTGGGGAGGGAAGTCGGAGCCTGCCAGCTTCTTGGTGGAGCTGGAGGCCTGGGGCACGGGTGCAGTTGTCCTCTGGGCGCCTGGGGTTAGGGTTCCCACCAGAGCTAGTGACTCTCAGGAAGGGGAGAGCTGTCAGGTCACCTGCAGGGGGCAGCACGAGCCAGAGGCCCCAGCCAGCCTCTTGACCCAGGAGGTGGGCAGGGTGCTCAGTGCAGCCGGTGGACAGGGGGGCAGCCACCTCGTGGCCTGGGCCCGAGTCTGTGCCAGCTGTTGCCGGCAGCCAGCTGAAGTGGTCCTGCCCACCCCCACTGGGGTTGGGGCCGAGGAGAGGACTCCCTTGCTGGGCTCTACCCCTGCCAGCCAGTCCCCAGGGCCCTCGATCCTGAGGGGCCCAGGTACCCCAGACGCTGGGTTCTCCTGCCCCGCTGCTTCACCAGGAGGGACCCTCTTTTTGGGGATACAGGGAGATGGGCCTGAGCACTGGTGGCAGCTCCACCTGGGGTCCTGGAGCCACCAGGGCCTCCGGGCCCACGGCCGTCCTTCTGGCCGACCTTGAGCAGGATGCGAGGCCGGGGGACTGTGCCCTTCCCAGGGCCGCCCAGCAGGCCTGGCCCTGCTGAAACCCGAAGCCAGCCGGCGGCCAGCTGCATGGCGGCAAGGGTAGAGGCAGAGGCCGGGACGAGGCACCCAGGCAGTGCCGGGCCTGAGCTGGAGGGCTGGCTGACTCGCCGCCATGGAGGTCCTGTGACTCCAGAACGCGGGCTGGGGCAGCCGCCGACCACACCAGGTGGGCTGTGGGGACAGGGAGCCAAGTGGCTGGCCTCTGGTGGGGAGGCCACTGGGCCTTGATCCGCTGTAGGGAGACCTTGAGGGTGCTTTGCAGGAGAGAGGAGGGGCAGGGCGGGCTGGCCTTAGGGGAGTGGAGGCCCCTGGGAACCAGCCACATTCCTTTGAAATCTGATAGGAGATTGGGTGCCCCCTGGGGCGGGAGCCTGCAACAGTGGTGCCTTCTGGGCAGGCTCCCTGAGCCAGGGGGGGAGTGGGAGCTGTGGCTACCCTTGCCCTCCTCTCTGTCCTCCTGGCCCAGACTCAGGGAGCACAGGCCACCTGTCTGGGTCCAGGCCTCTGGTTTCCCACTTTTGGGGTCTCAGAGACCTCAAAGCTGCTGTTCTGTATTGGGCAGGGGCCCCCTCATCCTGAGGGCTGGTCAGCCAGCAAAGCCTTTCTCAAGGCCTCAGCTGGGGGAAGGCCGCCTCATAGCTGTCACCCCTCTTGCTGCATTTTGAAAACTGACCAACCACCACCCTTCTCCCACCCTCCTGTCCCTGTCTGCCGTGTCACAGAGTCAGCCAGGTTCTCCCTTTGGGGCCGGCTGCTCAGTTTCCAGGGGCTTGGGGTTGCCCCGCCTAGGACTGTGGGCTCACTTGAAGGAGAGGTCCTTGTGCGTCCTTGTAGTTGTTGGGAGTTTACCTTCAGGTTAGGAGCGGTGTGCTGGGGACGGAGGTGGCGACAGCTGCTGAAGGCCCGCCGTGGGCCAGGACTGAGGGCAGGGCAGCCATGTGGTAGAGGGGCTCTCCAGGGGGAAATCTAGGGTCCACTCTTGACCCTGGGCAAGGCACTGAACTTCTGGGCCTCAGACATCCTTATTTGGGGGAAGGAGGAGGGGACCGTATCTGAGCTCCTGGCCGTTCTGTTTATCACTCAGTTGAGGGGACGCGGGAAGAGGGAGTGGCTTCTCTCCACGTCCCGTTCCCGGTCCCCCCGCGTGCCCTTGTGTGTCAGGCGTATCTGGACTTCTATCCATTTCCCGAGGCCCCTGCTCCATGTTTCTGGTAGGTCTGGGTAGAGCCCACACAGCTCTGGGGAGGTGCACCCCGTCCCCACTCCTCACAGCTGGGTAGGGAAGAGGAGGTGGAGTCTGGATGGGTTGGGGTCCAGAGCAGAGCTGGCTGAGCTGACCTGTCTGGAGCTCCCAGATAAGCAAGGGGCCAGTCTGGCTGCCAGGCAGGCCCTGGGCCGGAAAGCCCCGTGGGCCGGTGGGGCTCCAGGCAGGCCTGTGTTTTGCTGGAGGGTTTCTGCAAGGACATCCTCCTCTCCCCCAGCGGGGCAGGGCGGGAAGGGCTCTCCGCTGTCCCCCTTCGTGCCTGCGGAGAAATGGGAGCTTTTGCCACCTGCTCCTTCTCCCCACGACATGTGTGTCGGTTGCTGGTCACGAGTGCGGGGATTTTACAGTAATTAATTCATTAATTCAGTGCCTTTCTGTTGAGCGCGGGCAAGACAGGAGGAGGAAGATAGAGCTGCTGGTGTGAACAGCCCCCCGAGTGCAGCACGACACTGCTGCCAGGGGTCATTGGTCAGGCTTCAGAGAAGAGAGTTTATTTCACCTGGGCCTTGACGGATGAGTAGGAGTCTGCCTGATGGAATGGTATATGGGGGGCAGCATACACAAAAGCGCAGGTAGGAGGGAAAATGTGTGGCTTGTTCTTAGGCTTCCGGGTAGTTTGGTGTAGCTGCACCTTGATGGGGAGAACTGGCAGGGGCTGAGGTGGACTTCAGGCCTAAGATGTTCGGTTCCTGTGAGTGGTAGAGCAGTGGAGAGTATTAGAAGGTTCTGAGTGGTACCTTTTTTTTTTTTTTGGAAGAGGAAAAAGAGCTATATTTATTTGATTCTATGGATTTTCACTTATTCCTATTAACCATTAATTATGCTGATTTACCATTAATTGAAATATTTTATCTTTTTTACTATGGTCACCTTTAATAACAACTTAAAAATCACTTTACTTAAAAAAGGAGTTATCTATATTTACCAGAATTTCGTTTGTAGAAGCACAAGTGTTGACTTTGGATCACCCTTAGCTACTCATCTGAGGATATGGTCACACCATGGAAATGAAGATCACTTGTAGACTTTGGATATAAAACATGAACAGTTCACAAAAGTTGGTATAAGAATTTGCTCGCTACAGTTTCAATGCCCTAGTTTTCTCAAAAAGCTCCTGATACCTTTTTTTCTAAATCGTACCCTGAAATAAACACTGGTTTAACAGTTGGGTCATACAATAATACAAGCTTCTTGTAAACACCTGGAAAGTACAGACTTTATAAGGAAAGGATTATATCACTCTTAATCCTGTTATTTAAGGAAAGCCACTGAATTCTGAGTCTTTCAGTCTTTCTACTGGAATAGATATAAATGTACATATACACACGTAATTAGGACTAGTGCATGTTCTAATTTTTTTTTAATTGAAGTACAGTTGATTTACAACGTTATGTTAATTTCAGGTGTACAGCAAGTGGAATTCTTGAAATAGGGGAAATGGCCTGCAGCAGTCCTGTGACCAGTTTGGAGATTAGGTTGGGTGACTAGATAGGGATGAGGGGGGCGAGCATTCGCAGAGCAGGGGCTGGTTTGTGGAGGAAGATAAATTCCGTGCTGACAAGATGAGTCTGGTGAGGCCTAAGGGATGGCCACATGTTGAAAAACTGGAGCCAGGCCTGGATTGGTCACGTGAGCTGGGAGACGGGAGGGCATTTGCAGTCACGGGCAAGGGTGAGGTGGGAATGAGGAGAGGCTGGGGCCCAGGACACCCACAGCTGGACTGCCAGGAGGAGGTCAAGCTGGAGAGAGAAGAAAAAGAGCAGCAGAGTCCATCAGGGAAGAGAAGGAAGTGAGCGGTGGGGGAGGGGAGCCAAGCAGCTAGTTGCCCAAGGCCAGAGCAGACCCTCAGGTTTGGCCCTTAGGGTGGCATTGGTGGCTCTGGGGAGAGTGGTCTGGGTGGCCTATTCACACGGCTGCCAGACTGGGGGCCTGAGGAGCAGATAGGAAGCGAGGGCCCAGGGTGTGGAGGCGAGCGAGCAGGCAGTAGCCTGCAGGCGTGCCCTGGGGTGCGGTGGGACCGGAGTCTGGCGCAGGGCCGAGTCTTGGGAGGACAGGCAGACGCCATTCTGTAGGGCTGTGTCCACCCTGGTAGGTGAGGCAGACCTCGCCAGCGAGGCCCGTCTGACTCAGCTCCTTTCTTTTCCCCCGCAGAGCTGCCATCAGTCATGCTGTTGAATGGGGACTGCCCGGAGAGCCTGAAAAAGGAAGAGGGGGCTGCCGAACCGCCCCGGGAAAATGGGCTGGATGAGGCTGAGCCGGGAGAGGAGACCACTGGACAGGAAGTCATTGTCATTCAGGACACGGGCTTTTCTGTGAAGATCCTGGCTCCTGGGATCGAGCCCTTCTCCCTCCAGGTGAGAGGATAGAGGGGTACTGGGGGCCAGGGCCTGCGCCTGTTGGGGAGGATGAGGGTGCGAAGCCAAGCTTTGCCCTTGCCCGGTCTGGCCCCTTGTTGAGGCAGGAAACCGAGGGTCCTGTGCCTTCCAAGGTCACTCAGCTAACGTGGTGGACGTGGGAGTCCAGGTTCAGGCCGTTGCCTCAGTGCAAGGGGACAGATCCCAGCTGGGACTGCCAGCCCTGTTTGGGGATCGGTATGGTAGTGGCTGGGTAGTGTTGGGGTCCCAGGGCTCCCCACCCTCAGGTAGGTCAATTCTCTGGCTGGAGTTTTACCATCTGTCTGAGAGGAGAGTGGTAGTGGGTGGTCTTCAAGAGCAGAGCCGACCCAGAGGTCTTGTAAACTGTTACTCTTTGGGGAACCAGGTGAGGCCCTTCAGCCCCAGAGCACACCTTCCTGAAGGGGGAAGCCATTTGCCCTGGGGACCTTGGCACTGGGCAAAGGAGGAGGCAAGATGACTCTTTTCTTTTCCTTGTTTTTACACCTCCTGCTGCTCTACTCAGGGCCTGCTCTTGGTCTGCAGGAATAGTTTAAGCTTGCGGGTAACAGGGCAAGGCTCTGTCCTGCACATGTGTATATGTACCCTGCACACACATACACGCACACAGGTGCAAGTGGCCATGGTATGTATGGGCAGGGCCTGGAATTTAAAATAAAAGCCAAAAAGGGGGAAACGGTATTTGGAGCATTGACTTTCGGCATCCAGGTGCTTTGGGCTGGGGAAGCGGTATGTTTTCACCAGGTTGGTCAGGGCCTTCTCCCTGGCAGGTGTCCCCCCAGGAGATGGTACAGGAGATCCACCAGGTGCTCATGGACCGTGAAGACACATGTCACCGCACCTGCTTCTCACTGCACCTGGACGGCAACATGCTGGACCACTTCTCAGAGCTGCGCAGTGTGGAGGGGCTGCAGGAGGGCTCGGTGCTACGCGTGGTGGAAGGTTTGTCCGGAAGTTGTGCGGCCCGCCAAGGGGGGGCATGAGGAGGCGGGGCCAGGCGGCGCTCACCCCCACCCCACCCCTCCCGCTGGTACCTTGGTGTCACTGTGTCACAGATGAGCACGTGGAGGCTCAGGGCAGCCTTGAACTTGTGGAGGCAGGAGAAGACGGGACAGGAGCACAGGTCTGTTTCGCAGGCCGTCACAAGCACACCCTCCAACTTCATGGCTGAATATCAGAGTCGTGATTTTAAACAAAACAAACAGTGCCAGGCAGGTGCTTGAAATCAGCCCGTTCAAATTTTATAGATAAAAGTTCAGTCTCTTAAGGAAACTAAGGTTTCACGGCTCTTGAGCAGGGAAGTCAGGCCCAGTGTGGGACGGTCAGCTGGCACAGTGAGTCTGGTTTGTTTGTTTAAAAAAAAAAAAAAAATCACGTGAACTTAGGTTACCTGGGGAAAGGTGGCACTGCTGTTCTAGGCATGTCAGCCAAGGAGCAAATGTGGGAGAAATGTAACCCAGCTGTGCCCAGACTTACCTAATGACGAAACCTCTGTCCTTCCCCAGAAGAGCCCTCATTGAAATTTCATGAAACATGAGTTGGAGAGCAGTGTTGCAGTTTGAGGTCCTGTAAGTCCTCAGGCCACCCCCGGCCAGGGCTGCCCTGGGAGAACTGGACTGAGCCCATGGGGACCTAGCAGCTGTGCTGGGCTGCCCACCCGAGACACTCGTGGGCAGAGAGCAGGGGCCTTCTGTGTGCACTTCCAGAGGCATTTCTTGTGCCCTTTGGCATAAGGTTCTTTGCAAACAAGGATCCCTGCCCACCAGCAGGCAGGTGTATGTGTTGAAAGCAGAATTCCAGCTTATGTGTTCATAAGGGAATTTGTAAGTGAAAGCCTAAAACTAAAATCAAGACCACCCCTGGTAGTGCCATGGCCGACTTCTCTCTGCTGGGTGGGTTTTTGCCCTGGTGACGCCCTGCCCATCCCCCTCCCGACAGAGCCATACACGGTGCGAGAGGCCCGCATCCACGTGCGCCACGTTCGAGACCTGCTCAAGAGCCTGGACCCATCCGATGCCTTCAACGGGGTTGACTGCAATTCCTTGTCCTTCCTGAGTGTCTTTACTGACGGCGACCTGGGAGGTGCGCGAGGCATTGGGGCTGGCGGTTGGGCAGACGGGCCGGGAGCAAGTTGGCCAGGGGCTGGTGAAGGGGCCAAGGGCTCGGCCTTCCCACCTGGAGGGACTCAGACCGGGGCCACCTGAGCTGGGGAGGGAGTTGGCCCCTGGGTGGTCCTGGGCTGACCACCAGCCTCGGGTCCCTCAGACAGCGGGAAGCGGAAGAAGGGCTTGGAGATGGACCCCATCGACTGTACCCCGCCTGAGTACATCCTTCCCGGGAGCCGGGAGCGGCCGCTGTGTCCTCTGCAGCCCCAGAACCGTGATTGGAAGGTGGGAGCAGGTCTCTTTTGGGGTGGGGGATCGCCACACCAGGAAGCCTGGCCCACTCGTGCTTGGCCATTCCTGCAGCCCCTGCAGTGCCTGAAAGTGCTCACCATGAGCGGCTGGAACCCACCCCCTGGGAATCGCAAGATGCACGGGGACCTCATGTACCTGTTCGTGATCACAGCCGAGGACCGACAAGTCAGCATCACGGCGTCCACTCGGGGGTTCTACCTGAACCAGTAAGTCCTCGTGCGAGCCTGTTCCGAGTCCGTGGGCAGCTGCTTGGGGTGCCCTGCACAGTGGCCACCATCTCCCTGCAGGTCCACAGCGTACCACTTCAACCCCAAGCCTGCCAGCCCCCGCTTCCTCAGCCATTCCCTGGTGGAGCTGCTCAACCAGATCAGCCCAACCTTCAAAAAAAACTTTGCCGCCCTGCAGAAGAAAAGGTAGCACCTTGGCCCACCTGTCCCTCATCCCACGTCCCATGGGGTGGGTGAACCATACAGCCTGAACTCTAGCCCTCCTGCCCTAAGCTGTGCCCCCAGCACCCCAGAGCTCCCTTCTAGGCAGCAGTCAGCCTAGCAGCCCTACGACAGGCGGCCGTGTGCTTCCGTCGGACTCTCCAGGGACAGGGCAGAGCCAGTGGGACCTTGGAGAAGGGGCCCAGGGCAGGGCTCTGGGCTCAGTGGGCTGCCCCATCTCCCCTCTGCCCACCACAGGGTCCAGCGCCACCCGTTCGAGAGGATCGCCACCCCATTCCAGGTATACAGCTGGACAGCGCCCCAGGCGGAGCACGCCATGGACTGTGTGCGCGCAGAGGATGCCTACACCTCCCGGCTGGGCTACGAGGAGCATATTCCAGGACAGGTGCCTGCAGCCTGGCGGCCCACCCTTAGCTCTTCCCTCCCTTCCCCTGGTGGGCGCCAGGCTGGGTTCTGGGTGCTTGGGGGGCTGTCTGCGGGGAGGCGGGGGACGGGACTGCCCCGAGCAGGTGCTGGGGGCTCAGGTTGAGCCGGTGTCTCCCTCCCTGTCCTGCTGTAGACCCGGGACTGGAATGAAGAGCTGCAGACAACGCGGGAGCTGCCTCGGAAGAACCTGCCTGAGCGGCTGCTGCGAGAAAGAGCCATATTCAAGGTGCCCGTGGCCCCTCAGGCCTGACCGGTGGCCGCAGGCCCTCCTGCCACCTACCTGCTCGTTTTCTGTGAACAAGACGGAAGCTGGGGTGGGCTGTCAGGGATCTTCCAGGGCGTTCTGCCAGCCTTCCGCCTCCTGGTAGATGACCCCAACTCCTTCTTCTGGCCTCTCTGAGATTTAGTGTCTGTGGGCCGGAACCGGTGGGGACACGCCTCCAGGATGGGCTGAGTGGCAAGGTCCATGACAGCTTCCCTCCCAGCACACCCACGTGGAACCCTCAGCTGGACACACGTGCCCTACTGAGATATCCTTAGTGTTTTTCCTGAGACAGATGAGGAAAAAGCAGTGCTTTTGAAAAAAGTTTCTTTGAAATCTCCCATAACCTTACTAGAGATGATAATGGTGACGATAAGATCTAACGCCCGGGGTGCTCACTTTGCCAGGGGCTGTGCCAGGTGCTGTGTAGGCATTGCCTCCTGTAATCTTCCAGACACCTTGTAAAGGCTGATACTTTTATGTCACAGTTTTATAGATGAGAAAACAGGTCTGAGAGGTGATCCAGCCAAGATCACCTGGCACGTATTTGGTGATTCCCAGACCCACCCCAGTCCTCACTCTCCCTTTTAATCACTAAGCTCTGCTCTCTCTCGCAGTATAAGTGTTACATTTTTTCAAAACTGGGGTTTCTTTTTTTTTTAATAAATTTATTTATTTTATTTTATTTTATTTGTGGCTGCGTTGGGTCTTCGTTGCTGCGCACGGGCTTTTCTCTGGTTGTGGTGAGCGGGGGCTACTCTTCGTCACGGTGCACAGGCTTCTCATTGCGGTGGCTTCTCTTGTTGCGGAGCATGGGCTCTAGACACGTGGGCTTCGGTAGTTGTGGCGCACGGGCTCTAGAGTGCAGGCTCAGTAGTTGTGGCTCGCGGGCTTAGTTGCTCCCCGGCATGTGGGATCTTCCCAGACCAGGGCTCGAACCTGTGTCCCCTGCATTGGCAGGTGGATTCTTAACCACTGCGCCACCAGGGAAGTCCAAAACTGGGGTTTCTTGCCCTTTTCCAAATGTGAGGAAACTTTGTCCTGCTTACCTCCACCAGCCCTGGGCGAGCTTGGCCAGGCGGGATGAACCCCGCGGCTCTCTCACCCTCCAACCTCGGGCCCCCAGGTACACAGCGACTTCACAGCGGCAGCCACGCGGGGCGCCATGGCAGTCATCGATGGCAACGTGATGGCCATCAACCCCAGCGAGGAGACCAAGATGCAGATGTTCATCTGGAACAACATCTTCTTCAGCTTGGGCTTTGACGTCCGCGACCACTACAAGGACTTCGGGGGGGACGTGGCGGCCTATGTGGCGCCCACCAATGACCTGAATGGCGTGCGCACATACAATGCCGTGGATGTGGAGGGGCTGTACACGCTGGGCACGGTGGTAGTGGATTACCGCGGCTACCGTGTCACGGCCCAGTCCATCATCCCCGGCATCCTGGAGCGGGACCAGGAGCAGAGCGTCATCTACGGCTCCATTGACTTTGGCAAGACGGTGGTGTCGCACCCACGTTACCTGGAGCTGCTGGAACGCACGAGCCGGCCCCTCAAGATCCTGAGGCACCGGGTGCTCAACGACCGGGATGAAGAGGTGGAGCTCTGCTCCTCCGTGGAGTGCAAGGGCATCATCGGCAACGACGGTCGCCACTACATCCTTGACCTGCTGCGCACCTTCCCCCCCGACCTCAACTTCCTGCCCGTGCCCGGTGAGGTGCTGCCCGAGGAGTGCACCCGCGCTGGTTTCCCCCGCGCCCACCGCCACAAGCTCTGCTGCCTGCGCCAGGAGCTGGTGGACGCCTTCGTGGAGCACAGGTGGGAAGCCAGGGCAAGCGGCTGCATCCTCTGGTGGGTGGTCCTGGGGCCTGATCCTTGATGGGGGGCGGCTTTGGAAAGTGAAGAGGAGCTAGCTCTGGCCCTGGCCATCCCAGCCCCAGCGCCACCCACCGCGGCATCAGGCTCCCCAGCACGGACATCCAAGAGCCTTATGTGGGTCAGAAACTAGCAAGTGGCTAGACCAGCGGCTTTCAGCTGCCGGAAGTGGGTCTGTTCCCTCAGGGAGCACATGGAAACCTGCTTAGGTGTCTTTGAACCTCCCAGTGCCAGGGCCCTGGAGGAGGGATGGGGGCGGGGTCCCTGCTGCTGCCGTTTCGTGCTTAGGGGTCAGCCCGTCAAATGCCCCAGAATAATCTCCCTGTCAGAATGCCAGGGGGGTTCCTGGCGCTCTCAAGAGCCCTGGGCTGCGTGTGAGCCCCCCACGCACCAGCTGTCCTCTTCCTGTCTGGGAAGATACCCATTATTGCTGTGACCTGCTGCCGCCACCTGGTAGTAGTGCTGGACTGGCACATGCACACGTGTGTGGACGCTTGCACACTGGAAGGGATGTGTCCCCCAGGCCGGCAGGGTGTCCAGCCCCAACATCCCTCAGCCCCAGCGGGGCAGGAGCCAGGGCCTGGCTCAGGTCCCCCGAAGCCAGCAGGAAGCCGCCAGAGCAGTTACGCTTCTACATACCCCTCCTCCATTCCCTGCTCTGCCCCATCCACTGTGCTCTAGGTACCTCCTCTTCATGAAGCTGGCAGCCCTACAGCTGATGCAGCAGAAGGCCAGCAAGATGGAGACCGCCCCGTCACTGGAAAACGGCGACCCCCCATCCTCGGAGTCCAAGCCTGAAGACCCTCCAGCACCCGAGGTGGGAAGCGAGGAGGAGGGCAGCAGTGCTAGTGGCCTGGCCAAGGTGAAGGAGCTGGCAGAGACCATCGCCTCGGATGACGGGACAGGTGGGGCTGCCGTGGCTGCCGGGGGAGCCCAGGACGGGGGAGGCTCGGCTGCTGCCCCACCGGAGCGGGAGTGGGGCTACCTCCTAACGGGCAGTGTCTCTACAGCAGATCCTCGCAGTCGGGAGGTGATCCGCAACGCATGCAAGGCTGTGGGCTCCATCAGCAGCACGGCCTTTGACGTCCGCTTCAACCCCGACATCTTCTCGCCAGGTGAATGGTCCTCTAGGGCCCCAGCGCTGGTGGGCCTGTTCGCCCACCTGAGGGCTGCCGTCTGTCTGGCCACCTGCCTCTCTTCTGCCTGGCTCATGCCTCTGCCCTCCCTCCCCCAGGGGTTCGCTTCCCGGAGTCTTGCCAGGAGGAAGTTCGGGACCAGAAGCAGCTGCTAAAAGATGCTGCTGCCTTCCTGCTCTCCTGCCAGATCCCCGGCTTGGTGAGGGCAGGGGTGGGACGAGGGACTGCCCAGAGGGTGCTGTTACAGGCCCCAGGGCCTCATCCATCTCCGACTCTGGAAGCTTGTGGAACCTTTGCGGGAGTGACTTAGGCCTGCTGACCTGCAAGGCAGGCAGGGTGGAGTTCTCCCCAGAATGGGGCTGCTGACACACAGGGGTCAAGGGAGGCATCAGGTTCTGCTCTGCGTGCCCTCCCTTGTAGGCTGGCAGCTGGGGTCTGGCCCTCTGAGCCCCTGTGTGATGGGATGGCTGATAGAGGGGCTGGGGGCATCTTCACCCCCACAAGCTTTGTACATAGGCCCTGTGTATGTACACGGTGCTTGCTCCCCCCAAGGCAGCCCTGAGCTTAGGTGCCATGCTGTCCCCCGATCTTTTTTTTTTTAACATCTTTATTGGAGTATAATTGCTTTACAATGGTGTGTTAGTTTTTGCTTTATAACAAAGTGAATCAGCTATATGTATACATATATCCCCATATCTCCTCCCTCCCACCCTCCCTATCCCACCCCTCTAGGTGGTCACAAAGCACCGAGCTGATCTCCCTGTGCTATGCGGCTGCTTCCCACTAGCTATCTGTTTTACATTTGGTAGTATATATATGTCCATGCCACTCTCTCACTTTGTCCCAGCTTACCCTTCCCCCTCCCCGTGTCCTCAAGTCCATTCTCTACATCTGCGTCTTTATTCCTGTCCTGCCCCTAGGTTCTTCAGAACCATTTTTTTTTCAATTCCATATATATGTGTTAGCATACAGTATTTGTTTTTCTCTTTCTGACTTACTTCACTCTGTATGACAGACTCTAGGTCCATCCACCTCACTACAAATAACTCAATTTTGTTTCTTTTTATGGCTGAGTAATATTCCATTGTGTATATGTGCCACATCTTCTTTATTCATTCATCGGTTGATGGACACTTAGGTTGCTTCCATGTCCTGGCGATTGTAAATTGAGCTGCAGTGAACATTGTGGTACATGACTTTTTTTGAATTACGGTTTTCTCATGGTATATGCCCAGTGGTGGGATTGCTGTGTCCCCTGATCTTTGAGCTGAGCCTGCCGTGCTGGCTGCCCCAGGCCCCTGCGAGGCGCAGCACAGCCGCGGGATGAAGCTGTGGCCCTGCTTCTTCCTGTGCAATCACAGGAGAGCCTGTGCGGCTCCCTCATCCCTGATTCCCTGCCGTGTGGGCCCAGCAGTCGCAGGGGTGATGGTGGCCTGTGCAGAAGGCTGGGGACAAGATCTCACATCCTTGCTGCCGCTTTGTCTCCTTCCCTCTTCCCGATTGGGAGCTGGGGTCTCAGTCCCCTCCTTCCCTCAGGGCCTCAGGATAGCGTGAGCTCCCTTGGGAAGACCCAGGGCGGGAGGAAGCGGAGGCCCTGGGCTGGGGGGGCCTGACGTGCTGCAGCCCGCAGGTGAAGGACTTCGCAGACCACGCGGTGCTGCCCATGGACGGAGCCACGCTGGCCGAGGTGATGCGTCAGCGCGGCATCAACATGCGCTACCTGGGCAAGGTGCTGGACCTGGTAGTCCGGAGCCCGGCCCGGGACCAGCTGGACCACATCTACGTGAGTGGTGCCCAGGGCGGCTGTGGGATGGCGGGGCTGGGATGGAGGCCGGGGCCTGACCAAGACTCCCCTCTCTGCACCCTTGCAGAAGATCGGCATCGGAGAGCTCATCACCCGCTCTGCCAAGCACATCTTCAAGACGTACTTACAGGTACTGCGCTCCCTCCCCGTCCTGGGCCATGGGGATGTCGGGGGGAGCCCGGGTGGTGACACTGCTCCAACCTCCCTTGCAGGGGGTCGAGCTCTCGGGGCTCTCGGCTGCCATCAGCCACTTCCTGAACTGCTTCCTGAGCTCCTACCCCAACCCTGTGGCCCACCTGCCCGCCGACGAGCTCGTCTCCAAGAAGAGGAACAGGAGGAGGAGAAACCGGCCGCCAGGGGCAGCAGACAACACAGCCTGGGCTGTCATGACCCCCCAGGAGCTTTGGAAGAACATCTGCCAGGAGGCCAAGAACTACTTTGACTTCAGCCTCGAGTGGTACGTGATGGGTGCAGGGGCGCTGGGCTCCCAGGCAGCGTCCGGGTCCTCCTTGGTCGTTGGCAGTGGAACGGGGAGGAGAAAGCAGGGAGCTGTGGAGGGCTGCTTGCTTGGGGAAGTGGGGAGGGGAGCTGGGAGGGGGCTCGGGTGGAGGGGCAGCTGTGGAGAAGGGGGCAGAGGGGTGCTGGGTTGCCTGGGCCCACCTGCCGCTCCTCCCCAGTGAGACCGTGGACCAGGCCGTGGAGACCTACGGGCTGCAGAAGATCACGCTGCTGCGGGAGATCTCCCTGAAAACCGGAATCCAGGTGGGCTGGCTCAGAGCGTCCTGCAGGGCTCCCGGGGCCACGGGGGGAACTGGGCGGGGCGGTGCCGGCCGTTTGAGCCCGGGCTGAGGCTGCCTGCGGGTGCCGGGCTGGGTCCCCAGATCCTGCTGAAGGAGTACAGCTTCGACAGCCGCCACAAGCCCGCGTTCACGGAGGAGGACGTGCTCAACATCTTCCCTGTGGTCAAACACGTCAACCCGAAGGCTTCAGACGCCTTTCACTTCTTCCAGAGCGGGCAGGCCAAAGTACAGCAGGGTGCGTGCCAGGTGCAGCCGCGGGGCAGGGTTGCGGGGGGGGGCACCCACTTCCCTCCGGCCGGCCCTGACCTTCCGCCCCCGGGGTGCCCTGCAGGCTTCCTGAAGGAGGGCTGCGAGCTCATCAACGAGGCCCTGAACCTGTTCAACAACGTGTACGGAGCCATGCACGTGGAGATATGTGCCTGCCTGCGCCTCCTCGCCCGCCTCCACTACATCATGGGCGACTACGCTGAGGTGGGCCATGTGTACCCTCTGGGCCTTCAGCAGGGGCCCAGGGCCTGGTCTGGCACCAGCGGGGCGGAGGGGGGCATGGGGGAGCTGGGGCTGTGTTCTCACCCCCCGCGGCAGCAGGAAGCAGGAGTCCCGGCAGGTGGGACTGGAGCCCCTGTCACCCCAGGGGCCCGGGATGACCTCTGGGACCCCCCAGGAGGAGCAGGTGGAGACCTGGGGAGGTGCTTGTTCTGCCTGTATGGCGGCCTGCCTCCCTTGTCCCCCCCAGCTCCCTCTACTTAAGAGCTGTATCCTGGGGAGAGCCGCCGTGCCCGTGGACAAAGTGGGTGTGATGGCAGGGCCTCCCTTCACAGGGATGAGGGAAGGGTAAATTCTGACTCAGTACCTAGAGCCCTGTAGGCGCCAGGGAAGCTGCTTGGGGTCTGTGCTGTTGCCTGTACCATCCTGGGGCCTGTGGCGTTCACCTGCCTTGCTGGCCCCGGGGCTTGAGAGGCTGTTTCCTAAGCTAGGTGCACTGTAGGTGCCCTACTCCCGCCTCCAGCCATAGGACTCTTGTTTTCTTTCGCCTGTCTGCCTTTTCTCATTACGAATACTTTATTTTTAGCACAATTTTAGATTTGTATGCATATGTTGGCATAGATTAAGACAAGTGTTCTAAAATGTGAAGCGGCCTCAGAGCGGGCTGTCGACTTCCATGGTCACAGCAGCTGGATTTTGACCACTCTTCTGCTGCCTTTGTGCAAAGTAAAAATAGAAATTGCAGCCGAAGGTGAAGAGGCCGAGCTGCTGTGGAGGCTCGTGGGCCAGGCAGACTGGGTGTGGGGCGGTACCACCCGGGAGTGACAGCCCCCCACCTCCCCAGGCCCTCAGCAACCAACAGAAGGCTGTGCTGATGAGCGAGCGAGTGATGGGCATCGAGCACCCCAACACCATCCAGGAATATGTGAGTAGCCGCCTGCGGCACGGCCTGCAGGGTGGGTGGGACCCGTGGCTGCCCCGGCCTGACGCCGCTGCCCCCGCAGATGCACCTGGCCCTGTACTGCTTCGCCAGCAGCCAGCTGTCCACGGCCCTGAGCCTGCTGTACCGCGCCCGCTACCTCACACTGCTCGTGTTCGGGGAGGACCACCCTGAGATGGCCCTGCTGGACGTGAGTACCGGGGAGGGGCAGCGGGACTAGCCTCGAGCCCGGGGAGTGGGAGCTGACCGGGGCCCTCCCGACTGCCCCCAGAACAACATCGGGCTGGTGCTGCACGGAGTGATGGAGTGTGACCTATCGCTGCGCTTCCTGGAGAATGCGCTGGCCGTCAGCACCAAGTACCATGGGCCCAAGTCCCTCAAGGTGGCCCTCAGGTGAGGCTGTGCTGGGTTAGGGGACAGGAAGGCCCCAGGCCACAGGGTGCCCGGGAGGCGCTTGCATTGAGGGCGGGCACGGGATCCAGCACTCTGTCCTCCATCTGACTCCTGAGGAAATATCTCTCAACTTGCATCTCTTCTCTGAGTTCTGGACTTGCCTTCCCCCTTGGAAAGTTCCCAGAGTGGGTTCTGGGGTAGCCTGCACACCACCCATCCGTCCCCACCGGCCCATTCACGTCCCTCCCTCGCCTCCCCCTGCGCCGTGCCTGCCTGCAGCCACCACCTGGTCGCCCGGGTCTATGAGAGCAAAGCCGAGTTCCGGTCAGCCCTGCAGCACGAGAAGGAAGGCTACACCATCTACAAGACGCAGGTGGGCCACGGCGGGGCGGGGCGGGGAGGGGCGAGGAGGGGCGGGGCTACGGGCAGCACTGATATTTCCCGCCCCCTGCAGCTGGGCGAGGACCACGAGAAGACCAAGGAGAGCTCCGAGTACCTCAAGTGCCTGACCCAGCAGGCCGTGGCCCTGCAGCGCACCATGAACGAGATCTACCGCAATGGCTCCAGCGCCAACATCCCGCCCCTCAAGGTGGGTCCCCGAGCGGGGCTGGGTGGGCCGCACCCCGGCCTCCCGGCGCTCAGGCAGTGGCTCATCCTCCCTGCCCCTCAGTTCACAGCCCCCAGCATGGCCAGCGTCTTGGAACAGCTGAACGTCATCAACGGCATCCTCTTCATTCCTCTCAGGTGAGGCGCCCCACCCCCGCTTAGAAGTTGGCCTTTATTTTTTTTCTTGGTTTTTTAAATAAATGATGCATTGACATGGCTCAAAATTGAAAAGTATAGCCAGTGGCAAGGAGTTCCTTGTGAATCCTTCCAGAAATATTCTGCATAATTGGGCAGACACAGGTTTGTAACCGTTTTTCCCCTTTTTTCCCCCAAGGTGCCAAATTGTAGTGAGCCATGCACATAGGTATTTTTCTCCTGCACTTAATCTATCTTGGCGATCGTTTCGTGTCAGTATGTAAAGAGCAGTGTCATTCCTTCTCTGGACTCCTGCTCTGTCAGTGTAGTGATGTGCCTTAGAGCCAGGCCCTGAGGGTCCCTGTGCGGCTCTTACAAACAGTGCCGTCTTCGAAAGCCCCTCGCGCCGTCTCCCTCCCACCTGTGTGCGGCATGGGTTTGGTCAGCTCAGTGTTACGGCGTTTACAGCGTATCTGCTCTGTGTTGCACTCTACACCTGTTTTTTTTGGGTGTAATCGGCTATAGGAGCGGCCGGGGTGCAGTGGGTTTGAACTGGGCGTGAAGGCTGGGCAGGAGCCAGGCCTTAACTGGAGGCTGTCAAGTGTGTGCAGTTCGTACTTTTTCAGCACTCGGGGGCCTTTCTGTTTGCGGGAGGGAAGCACTTGTTCCACACGTGTGTCTCGCTGCAGAGAGCACAGAGCCTGATCTTGTTCTAAGTTTAAGCAGAGCCAGTAAGGGGACGGAGGGCCCAGGCCCACTCTGATCAACCCACCCTTCGCCCCGTCCTTCTACTCAGCCAAAAAGACTTGGAGAATCTGAAAGCCGAGGTGGCGCGGCGGCACCAGCTCCAGGAGGCCAGCGGGAACAGGGATAAGGCTGAGGAGCCCATGGCTACTGAGCCAGAGCCAGCAGGGGCCTCAGAGGATGCGGCCTCCCAGCCCCCAGCTGCCAAGGACCCTCCTTCCCTGAGCTTGCAGGGGTAGGAAGGGAGACACAGACAGACAGTCGGCCAGCTGCCCCGTTACCCAGCGATCCAGACTCCAGGAGAAGGGGGCGTGCCCTGCACATCAGGAGAGGCAGCAAGTCCTCCTCCTCCACGCTTCCAATCCCACCCTGCCCCCAGCATCCTCCTGGGACCCTGGCCTGGCCTGCCTGACCCTCTGAAAGATGTTCTTGCACTGGTTCCAAGAGTATACGACGCAGAGGCCTAATCGGAGACACGTGAATGGAGCGCGTGGGCATCAGTTCCCAGCTGGCGGACAGGTGCCCCCTCGGGCCCCCCCTCCTCAAGCAGGTGTGCGCGAGTGTGTCTGTGCCCGAGAGTGTCCTGCTGCGCCCTTCCTGACTTGCGCATAGCCCGGGCCGGCTCCGAGTGGGTGGGTGGCGTCGGGAGATTTCTCAGGTCATTCGTATGTTTGGCATGGCTGCTGCTTTTGCTGCCACTACCCCGGGCCCGACCTGGCTGAGAGTCCAGGTTTGAAGCCGAAAAGAGGGGAGCTTTCCCGTGTCCTGGGCTGGGGAGCCAGAGCTCTGTGGCAGGGCTGGACGGCTGGGGAGCACTTTATGGCGGGGTGAGGGCCGCAGCGGCGTTACTAACCACCGGTGGGCCGGGAAAGGGTTGGGCATCGGTGGTTCCCCAGACACCCCTGTGCCCAGCCCCGGCTTGTCGGCCCTTGGGCCCCAGCAGGAGGTGCTGCCTTCCCACTCCCCGCACCCCAGCTGGGGCTAACCTTGGGGTATAGTCTGAATGTATCCTTCTCCCTGTTGAACAACCTCAGCTGCCTAACGCACAGGGGGGTGGGGGGGGACCCGGACTGAATCATGGATCCCGGGGGAGACGTCACAGATACAGGAGTGACTGTCCCTTGTTTGTGGAGCTTAGCTCCCTACCTGGTCCTAGGACACACAGGCACCTCCTACAGAGAGGAGCTCTGGGAGTGGAAGGGAGGGGGCTGCCCGTGCCGCTTCTCTGGGCCTGCTGTCAGAGCCCTAGCAGGTGGGCGGAGACGGCCACCCTTGGGAGCTGGAGGGCGCGGTCCTGCGGCTGGGGCCTCCGCCTGGTGGCTCTGCACGGAGCCGCAGCCGGGTATGGCCTGTCCCAACGCCTGGTTTCAAAGGGAGTGGGTGCGAGCTAGCAAGCGAGGCATCCCCACAGCTGATCAAGAACTTTTTCTTGTTTTTAAACCATCAGTCTTCATTTCACATTGGAATAAAGTGAGTTTTTGAAACCTGCTGTCCCGGCCTCTCCTGTGTGTTCTGTACCAGTCTTGTTTGGTTGTGAGAGCTGTTTCCGGAAGTGGTACTAGTAAAAGAGTTTAAGGCACATGAATGTGTAAAATTAGGTCACACTCAAAGCTATCCTTAGAATGTCATTTAAGTGGGAGGAAAGGGGGTAGAGCCGCAGGCACCCACCTAGGGCTTACCAGTCTGCCCATCAGGAGACCCATGGGAGTGGCACACAGATGAACATCACCTGGTGTTGGCCACAGAAGAAAAGGCTGAGAATCACTCCTATACAGGGCCCTGTGGTTCCGGCTGGGGTGAAGGGTGCTGCAAGGTGAGGGCCCAGGCCTGGGCGTGCTGGCCCTGGTAGGCCGTTGAGGACCTAACTGGGCATCCGCCCTTGTCCCTTTGCTTGTCAGGAGGACTGGGCGGCGCCCCTCAGAAAACTAGGAGTGCTAGAATGGGGGGTGTCTAAGTTTGCCATCCTAGGTGGGCCCTCGTGGAGATCTAATGAACGGGGGGAAGTGGATCCCACCTAGGTGGGCTTGAGAGGCCGGGCCTGTGAGATGGGAGGGTTGTGGGCAGGAGGCCTGTCTCAAGAGGAGAAGTGTCTACAGCAGGCGGGCCCTCAGCCTCATGCGTAGTTAAATGCCTTTTTGAATACTTGGAGAGTCCTTTGTGTCTGACGTTGTGGGAAAAAAAAATTCCAACCCTGACGTCTGTTTTCTGGAGCCAACTGAAAAAAAGATGTCCCTGACGTCGTCGAGGTTTTCTTCTAAGTGATGCCCAAGGATGCTCGCTCCCACCCCGCTTTACAGTCTCCTGGTTGCGTTCTGAACGTGCATCCCTTCCTAGAGCATTTATCCCGTGAACGCCAGTCACGTGTTTCTCAGCACTTCTAGAATTGTGGGCGTGATCTTGTAAAGCTGAGAAGGGATCAAGTGTAATTACCGCTGTACCTACTAGTCACCTGAGGCCCATTTTTCATGGTTGATCCCTTAAGCGTATTGGTGCTGTCAGGTGCCTTTTGACAACCGAAATGACAAGGGACTGTTGTTTTATGAAGGACACAGAGGTGTGAAATCCACCTTTTCTCCTCTTAGTTGACAGATGGCAAATTTTTGAAAAGGGTGAACAGTGGTATCCAGGAAGGGTTAGTGTGAGAACTGGCACGCAGGTCGTGGGGCAGCTGCGCGAGGTGGAATACAGGTCTAGCTTGTGTGAGCCTCTTTGTGTCCCCCACGCTGATCTTTCACTTTCTGCTCTACTTTCTTCCCTGTTTGCATTTCTCTTAACATGCATATTACTTTTACAACTTAAAAAATATTTTTAAAAGAACTGTTACTACTTTTAAGTTGTATCATCTGTCTCCACTCGCTCCTGCCCTCCAGACTTATTGTTTTTTTTTGTTTTAATTGAAGTATCGTTGATTTACAACGTTGTGTTTCTGGTGTACAGCAAAGTGATTCAGTTGTACATTATCTATACCTATGTATGTGTATGTATGTATTCTTTTCCATTATGATTCAGTACAGGATATTGAATATAGTTCCCTCTGCTACACAGTAGGACCTCGTTGTTTATCTAGTTTATGTATAGTAGTTTGTATCTGCTAATCCCGAACTCCTAATTTATCCCTGCCCCACCCCCTTCCCCTTTGGTAACCATAAGTTTGTTTTCTATGTCTGTGAGTCTGTTTCTGTTTTGTAAATAAATTCATTTCTGTCATATTTTACATTCCACATATAAGCAGTATCATATGGTATTTGTCTTTGACTTAGCATAATAATCTCTAGGTCCATCTATGTTACTGCAAATGGCATTATTTCATTGTTTTTATGGCTGAGTAGTATTCCATTTTATATATGTACCACGTCTTTATCCATTCATCTCTTGATGGACATTTAGATTGCTTCCATGTCTTGGCTACTGTATTGTGCTGCTATGAACACTGGGGTGCATGTGTCTTTCTGGATTAGGTTTTTCTCCGGATATATGCCCGGGAGTGGGATTGCTGGATCACTATTTTTAGTTTTTTAAGGAACCTCCATACTGTTTTCCATAGTGGCTGTATCAATTTACATTCCCACCAACAGTGTAGGAGGGTTCTCTTTTCTCCACACCCTGTCCAGCATTTATTTGTAGTCTTTTTAATGATGGCCATTCTGACCAGTGTGAGGTGATACTGCCTTGTAGTTTTGATTTGCATTTCTCTAATAATTAGCAATGTTGAGCATCTTTTCTTGTGCCTGTTGGCCATCTGCATGTGTAGAAATGTCTGTGTAGGTCTTCTGCCCATTCTTTGATTGGGTTGTTTTTTTTTTGGTAATTGAGTTGAATGAGCTGTTTGCATATTTTGGAAATTAAGCCCTTGTCAGTGGCATCATTTGCATTGTTAAATATGAATATTGAGAGAACTGTTAGACTTAGTTGAGGAATTCCTACATATCCTAAAGGTGAGAATAAGGTATCCTGATGTGGCCCGAGTATTTCCTGCACACCCCCCCCCCCCGCCCCCGACTCCCAGTATCTACACTAGCGATCAAACAAGGCATGCATTATCAGGACACCTTACAGAGGACAGGAGGGCCTCCTCAAATGGAAAGAAATACCCCCATTAAACAGGGAAATCCACTGATTAAAAAAAAGAACTCAAGACACTGGGATGCAGGCCATTCAGGACAGTTGCCCTGAGAATAGTCATTTCATATAGAATGAGTGAGGAGCCTTCCTATGTTGCAAGTGTGGGCAACGTTAATTCTTATCCATTCCCAGCCTCTACCCCATTCCTCATGGTCGCCCCACAGTGGAGCTGGCAGTGTAGTGACAGAGAGGGGCTTGGGGATGGGATGAGGGTCTTTCCTGTATGGCTAAAAGTAGGTTAAATGATTGTTTCAGAGATGTCAGAAGGCCCTCCTTATACATAAATAGCTAATTAGATGCTTAATACAGGCAGAACCAGATAAGGGAAAGAGCTAGTGCATTTGGGTTCAGGTCCCAGCTCACTCTTTAATTAGCTTAATACCCTTGGCATATGACCTCACCATAAGTGAGCCAGTTTTCTTGTCTGTAAAAATGTGCTAATATCCACCAGCAGGGGATGTATGTGAGGAAGACAGTATGTTGAGAATAAGGGTGTTGGCCTGACAGGCATTCAGATGTTGGGTATTTTCCTTCCTTTAGTCCCTGCACCAGCCACTTTCATTTAAGAGGGCTGGTGACCAAGTGGGGCTGATGACAAAATGGTGTTTTGTGAAAGTGATGGTTATTTATTATTATTTATTCTTGTTCAGAAGCAAACAGTGATCTCAAAACACTCTTAGGAGAGTGTTTGCATGATGTGTCTAAACAATTGCAGGAAAATGAAATCTTTTTTTAAATGCAGGTGTGGCAAAGTGCTGAATTTATTCATTTATAACATTCACTTTTAGAAGTTTGTGTTTCTGATATGATGGGGAAAAAAATGCAGTGTTTCGGTTCAGCCTTTTCATTTACTGGATTTATGTATAAAAGATCTTGGAAAGGCAGTTACTTTGGTGTAAGAGAAAAATCCTTGCCCTTCGTCCCTGGATGTAACTATCCTGTATGTTTACATAAGAAATAATAAACTGGAGATGTGAGTGGAAGAAAAATATTCACAAAGGAACAAAACTCCATGTATGAAACTGTCGGCAAAAGAGAGGTTTGAGTTCAAACCCCAGCTGGAGGGCCCCGGGACCAGTGACTTGTCTAAATTTTTGTCTTCAGTGAAAAGTTAGTT